ATAGTACTCTTTATAGTATAGGGCTTACTCTTCACCTTGGCCTGTATTGTCCCCTTGCTAGTGGCCCACATATATGTATTATTTCTGCTATGTAGGATAGTATATATAGCCTGCTCCTTTGCTAAACCAAGCGATACTTCCTATTACTATATCTTCCTTAATATTGATAAACAATCCAACCATAAGAAGTAAGCTACGTATCTCTACTATTTCTAGACTATTAAGCTAACAAAACTTATAGATTTACTAAGCAACAATGCGTTTCCTCTTCGGAATCTTAATACTATCCATAGGTAATGCATTAGCAGGTCCTATAGGCTCTAATATACTATCTATTAGAGGTATTGTTATCTAATTTTAACTCTAAATATAGTTATAACATTCTTCTAAATTTGTTTCTAGACCCACAGACTGTTACTGGTTGTCGAGGGTGCTACCACAATTGCAATGTAGACTACCCCCGTGGCTCTCAACGCAATGGTTGTTATAGCGGGTGCCAAACTATATTCGCGGATTGTTAGTGAGATAGGCAATAGTTAGATGCGTGTCACGGTGCGCTCGAACGTAAGCTTAAGTATCAGGTACGCAGACAACAACGGAGCTTTGTTGTCTTGTGCCTGCCTTTTTGGCAGCGTGGTAGGCGCCTGTAGCTGCGTGCTCGGCTCCGCTAGGAGCCCTCCCTGACAATGCGTCTCAATTAAAACCTTGCCTATATCAGTTGAAATCCTTCTAAAATTGCATTAAGCAATATAGCAGATAACGAACGTCTATTCCTACGTGCCGGGGCGTGCGGTGTAACGAGGCGCTTTCTGTTAGAATCAATTAGGACTCGAACGAGTCCTACTGATAGGCGACACTGATTGGCTGACACGAACAGCGGCAGGGACGTCGTCCCTGCTATTGCTGACCGGCTCGTGCACCTATTGACCACGCGTACAGGCGATATGTACAAGTACTGGACACGATAGCAGATACAGAGAATTAATCTGCTCCCTCACTACGATATTATTTGCGGCTGCAAGTTGATTCAACCCGTGCACCTATATCGTGCAAACACTTTCTCTTCTAGTTAAACTTCGGCACTGTACATATGTAACAGCGGAGTGACACTAAATAGAAAGAAAACTTGATTAATTGTTAGCCAGAGGAGAACCGATATAAGAGTAAGGCTGCTGTATTATTATATAGCCACGTGTTGGGACATATACTGGCATCGAGCTGACAACACCAGTCTTACCTCGGTCTTGCTACGGGCGTACAAGTCTCAGCAAGGGCATACAGGTCTCAGCAGGGACATACGAGTCCCAGAAGGGGGCACACGTCTCAGTAGTGGCAGGTTTGCCTGCTACTGCTGAGTATATAGTAGATCAGGCGACAACACTCAGCTCGTTAGCCTTACCCAACAACACTGGATGGCGTCCGTTGGTATCGCCGGTGAACGACATATGTAGTCGTAGTCTCTCGGTTTCTCGGTGGACTGAGCCGGATCAACGCGTCAGCTACCAAGGACAGGAAAATTCACGACGAAAAATTACACGCCTCTATATGGCTCGAAGAGCTTTCGTTTCACATTTGCTGGCAATGGTATTCAGAATGGCCTCTCCAACATTTTACATCTCCAGTTTGAATGAATCAGCTAGAATAATTGGACGGCTTACGGGCGTCAATGACGCGTTCAATAACTTCAAGCGCCAGCCAGGTAGGTGCATGCGTGCTACTTAATGTGATCTGAGAAAGACACGGCACTCACGCCGGTGCAAGAGCTCCACCCCCCCTGAGTGTCGAGTCAAGTCACGATCTGACCAAGGTCTCGCTTCCTATATTGACAACGAATGGGCTTCTCCGTGACAATATCGAGTAATTGGCCCTTCAAGAAATACAACCACATGTCTTGAACAAAATGCAAGTGCATTAATATGGACTGCTACTGTAACACGGCAATTCTCTACCTCCGAAGACTTTACTACATATCTCATTTCAACGAAAACAACAAAAGAAACATATGCGCATAGGGAGGGTGTTTGGTATCGTCTGCTTTGCTGCATTTTATCTTATGCTCGTTTCGATCCGAACTGATATATCCCTAGGTCCAGTACCATGATTCCGTCTCCGTGGCTAATTCCTTACTCTGCACTACCCAAAGAAACCAGCATCATCAGGTTACAATAGCACCAAACGTTCACGTTCACGGTTGATGTGCATCTGTATTGCATCTAGCAGTTCAGCCAGGTTTGTATCGGTCCGTGATTCTGCCCATTTGCTACCACGAATGACTTTGCGAAGTTGGCTTGCCAAAGCTTCAGAAGGTCGTCTCCAGCATGCGCTGGCAAAGAAACCCGTTAAGACTGTGGTGTACCATTGATTGCTGGGAACAGTAGGCACTCCCAGCCAGGACATGTCGTCGTCTTCCGCAAAGCGTTTGAAGGATCTGGTGAGGCACTTGCGCCAGTTGTCTGACAGTGCAGGAATGCCATCTAGACCAACAGTATACGGCTTTGGCTTTGCAAGAGAGTTGATGATTTCGTGTTCAGCGTGAGAAGGAGCTTCTTGTTTATAGTTTCCATTTCATTTTGTTCGGCCTCTACGCGTCTGATGATGCGATAACACGTATTACCGATTGTTTCCTTTGGTGAGTATTTTCACACTATCAACCAGTTTTTTGAATTTTGTCTCACTACACTGCACAAGTTCTCACGACAAGACGATATTTTCATCGATTCCAACCACCGAAGACTACGCCTAGGACAACATATCGTCGAACTCCGGTGCCAACCGGACACTAAACAGTTCTTGGATCTCAATAAGAGAAACCAGGGTGACGTAAATTGAAGGTGAATTTTTCTCTAGACTCGCTGAGGCAAAATGGACGGCGTGAGTCAGGTGAGGGAGCCTTGCCAAGATGGGGCAAACGACGTAGATAAGGTGAAGGAGCACTTCTTCCGGCGTCACCAAGGCATATGGCGTAAACTAGGTGAGAGAGCAGTTTGTCCAGTTTTGCCAAGACGAGCCGCATGACGTAAACTAGGTGAAGGTAGATTTTAGCACTCGCAGTCACCTCCGCTCCTGTAGATAAATAGCCAGCCAAACCCCACCACCTGGCACTCAGCTTCTTTCTCTATTTCTCTCCAAACTACTACAAGTACTCACTTATTCAACGTCAACATGGCCGACAAGAACGACATGCTGAAGGAGCTGGCTGAACTTGAAGCGACGGTCAAACGGATGAGGGAGACGTACGAGCGTATCGCCAGTGAACAGGAGACTCTGTCACACAAGGGCACAGTTCCAGTTTCAGTAAGTAACGTGGAAACTCTTTTTCAAGAGTGTTCCTAACACATAATGCAGTACACCAAGTTCGTTGATAAGTTCAAAAAACTCACCAAGAAAAACTCGGAGTTCGCCCAGGCAAGCTCGGAGTTCGCCAAGGCAGGCTCGGAGTACGTCAAGGACATGATCAACGCCACTCCAGCCAAGAATGTTTCCAACGCTTCGATCACGACTATTCCGAACCCTCCATTCACATTTTTTCCCAAGCCGCCATCCTCCAAACCATCATTTAGTTTCATGGAATACGATGAGGACCTAGCGAAGAAGAAGGCAGAGAAGAAGAAGGCAGAGAAGAAGGAGGCAGAGAAGAGGAAGGCAGAGAAGGAACGCAAATTTGACGAGGGGATGGCCATATTTGCAGCAAAGAGACGGCGTACTGAGTAAGTTGTGAGGGGAAGCTACATGGAGTAGAGAATCAGTTCGAGTAGGAAGGGGGGCCACATGGAGTAAAGAATCAGTTCAAGTAGGTAGTAAGGCATTGGAGATAGCAAGGAAAGAATAAATGCCTTAGTTTGCTAATTTTTCGTGATTGATACCGTGAGACATCGTTACATATCCACCTTTCTCTTATCATGACAATCGAACTATTGATACAATGAGATATCTCACGGGGACCGATTTCCCATCCACTCCTCTAATGCTCGGCGGTCGTACTCTGCACGCATCTGCATGGCTTCTGCTATCTTCTCAGCTGCTTCCGCTCTAATAATTGCGACCTTCTTCTCCTTCTCTGACGCCTCGGCAAGCTTAGCTGCAGCCTCTGACATAAGTTCCGACATCCTTGCTTTGGCCTGCAGTTGGCGTGTTTTGTGCGGAAGCCCGTCTTCTTGGGAGCTGGCGACGCGCTTCTGGGAGGTGGTTCCTGCTCTATCGTTAGGTCGATGCTGCTAACAGTCTGGAACTACCTTGCCTGGTTGTAGCTGAGATGGAATGTCGTCGAGCTCTTGCCAAGAGCTCATTCCATGATGTGATTCCGAAGTCAAACTCTGGCTCGGGTTACGATGAAGTTGACCGGCGATTCGCGCATGCTCTGCCTGTTGACCTGTACAGGGTGTTCCGCTGAGTAATTTGCGCGAAGGCATGTTGTAATAGAAAAGGTGTTGTTCTAACGGTGTGGAGATGCACAAGAAGGAGCGATCATGCGTAGGCAATATCTGTAGGCATGTCTGACTAAGCACCTCGCCTTGAACGCCATCTAGCAGGCTCTATAGAGGCTTTGTAGCAAGTTCAGGAATCCGTTATTGCAGTAGCATGTCCCGAAAGCCATGCTACAAATAATTCTTTATGGCTCGACAATCAAGTAGTATGGAGAAAGTATTGATTCCTTATTAAGAAAATTGCTAGACTGTTACCTTGTGTCATTCCCATCATAGATACGCCGTGCACTATACCTCACCCATGACAGCTTTCGTTATTCTGCTTCCTGGGAAGCTGTTTCCTCCTCCTCCTCACTCCCAGCCAGTTCGTCCAATGTGGCCTGCAACGAAAGAATGACTTCATTTACCGACTCTATCTTCTCAGTGGACATCTTGACAAACTCGTTGAAGTTTTTCTTGACGCTCTGGCATCTTTCTTCCAACTCCTCAATTTCTTTTTCTTGTTCACATACCCTGTCGAGGGCTGCACGGAGGTGCTTTTCTAAGTGCTCAACGTCCGAGTTCCGAATTTCATAGGCCTCGCAAGTTTCCTTCCAATACCCAATGAGCCTTTTTAGGAGACTGATATAGCGATCGTTCGCTGTATTCAATGCTTCGCGGCTATCATAGTTTCCTTTGAGGTCGGGCGGTACGATACCCAAGCCTTCGTAGAGCGCCAGAACTAAATTTTCCCGAGCGCATACGACAGCCTTCAAGTCTCTGCGTTTCTTTTGTATGTTGGCTTTCGAATCGGTGACCCGCTGCTGTAACTTGTTATTGTTCTGCTCTAACGTGCGATTGACTTGCGCAGTGACAATGCCCTCTCGTGCAAACTCCCGCATTATGCTTCTGACCAATAAGACTAATAAATCAATCGTTCCTCAGGTTAGCCGAGTACACGCGCAATGAGAGGTCCGACTGGACGGCATTACCTCTGAGTTGTTTCGAGATATAGTTTCTTCAGCGTTTGTGGAAGACTCTGACAAGCCAGTAACATGGAGTTGGGATGAGTTGCCGTATATCCGCTAGTCCCGTTGTTATGAGTAGAATCAGTCGATGCCCATGACAAATGCCACGTGACCGATATTCCGAAGTCGTTTTCTTGCCTTCCACTTTGTGCCTAAGTGGCCCTGGTCTCTACTCTTTTTTTTAATCCGTGTGAGAGAAATAGAGGGCGCCACGATGAAGCCGAATGGTTGTGGCGTTGGCGCGACCAACCTGGTGGCCTGGTCACAAGATGGTGGAACTGTTGAGATGGTGGCTGCCTCTCAATTCCACGCGGATGCTTAAATTACTTGCAGAGTGTATTTAAGACTCCACCATGGAAGGGCTGAAGGGCCGAGTTATGCTGAAGTAGGCATCGTCCGAGGTAAGTGCGATGATCTGATAAGATTAGATGTCATCGTGACCATGCTAGGGGCGCTAGTCTCGGCGGTCATGAGGCAACGGCTTCATTCCTTCACCTTTGCACCCCCATCATCCACATGACTGTTGCCAATGCTAATTCAGGACTTGTTTGAAGTTATTGAGTTCCACTTTTTTCTCCGGAGCGGACAGTTTTTATTAGTCAAAGTCGCCCCGTTCATCCACACACACACTTACTATGGAATGGACGAGCTGTCATCTCAAGGCAAACTGCAACGGCGGCATGTTATCAGGCGATTGCCACGTGAAATTCACACCCAATGCCGCTACCCACCCTCCGATTCTTCCATGCTTGGGCGAGACCCGTTGGTTTTGTCCAGACGGGACTGAGGCTTCGGCGCGCACTGCTGGATTCGACGTGCCGGGAGCTATGACCGCCACTGAAATTATGAGCCAAGGACTTGGCAATGCAGGTTTGCGGTGGGGCAGCTGAGAGGGCGAAGGGACATTGGATCTTATCAGATCATCTAGGACTTATCTGATCATCTAGCCGCTGCTAACGCTGTCTGGGCACTCCATCCTACCTGGACGGTGGGAGATGATCCCAAGCCACCGGGTGGGATACACGGGGCAAATTTTTCATGTCTTGTTCCTGTCCTGACCTTCCCTGTCCGGTTCTCGGAGTGGGCCCTGGAGATACTTAAGAATGCTTCCATCTGCCGGTCTTGGGATCGACATCCAGCTGCATTTCAATTCAATACCCTGCCTCGCCCGGCATCTGTTCGGAAATTCCGTTTGATCATGGCGAACAACACCTTTGAGACTGATGTCGTGCGGCCTGCAGAGGGCTTTCCTCGTCCCTCGCACGACATAGACGTTGAGAAGAGGGGCGATGAAGCAGTCCACTCCCACGAGACGGCCAGCGACGCCGAGTCCAAGTCCATCGAGTCGGACAACTTCCAGAATGGCGTTCAACGTGTCCGCGCCATCACCGAGATATGGAGCAAGAAGACTCTGATCACCATGTTCATATTGTTCGTTGCTCCTTCTTCCAACCCACGATGAAATGCTGACCGACTTTTAGCTTGTACCTTATCGAGTTTGTTGCTTTCCTACAAAATGCCATTGATGCAGCGCTGAACCCTTACATTACCTCGGCTTTTGGAAGACACGGCCTGTTGACCGTCTCGAGCGTCATGGCAACAGCACTGAGTGGTTGTGTTCCCCTCCTTATTGCAAAAGTGATCGACGTTTTCGGTCGCGTAGAGGGCTTCTTCCTTATGCTCCTTCTCGTCGTCTGCGGTATGGCCATGAAGGCCGCTTGCCAGAACGTGCAGACATATATGGCTGGTCATGTTCTCTACTGGGCTGGCCATATTGGTGTGCTCTATGTTGCTGACATCATGGCTGCCGATATCACCACGCTGAAGAATCGAATGATTATCCTCACTATCAACGGAACGCCTCGTATTGCTAGCACTTTCGCCGGTCCTAGGATTGCGGAGCTGTTTTACTACAAGAACAACTGGCGCTGGGCTTTTGGTGCATTCATCATCATCTTCATTGGCTGCTGCCTTCCCGGCCTCGTTGTCATGATTTTCATGTACCGCAAGGCTAGGAAGGCCGGGCTGACCAAGACGGAAAAGTCGGGTCGCAATGCCCTGCAATCAATCTGGTACTATTTTGTGCAGTTTGATGGTAAGCTCCTCATAACATACGCATGACACCTGCTAACATGGCCCAGTTTTTGGCATCATACTCATCATGTGCGCGTGGTGCTTATTCGTTCTGCCCTTTACTCTCGTATCCTACGCTCCCAACGGCTGGAAGACACCTTACATCATTGCCTGCATCGTGCTCGGTCTCGTTCTCTTCCCGGTCTTCTACATTTGGGAGGCCAAGTTCGCGCCTGTCCAGTTTTTGCCTTGGATCTACCTTAAGAATGGAACCATTGTTGGCTCATGTCTTCTCTATGGAGTCATGTTCCTCTCCGTGTTTTGCTGGAACGGATACTTTTACTCATACCTGCTGGTCGTTCACAGGCAAAGCATCACGCATGCTAGCTACATTCTCAACGCCTTCTCGCTTACGTCGTCGGTTTTCAGCCCCATAATTGCATTGTGGATCAGGCATTCTGGCAACTTCAAGTGGACTGCTTACACTGGTGTTCCCATCGTCCTACTTGGTACCGCACTCTTGATTCCTTTCCGGAATCCATCTACCAACCCAGGTGTCCTTGCCTTTACACAAGTTCTTGTTGGTCTTGGTACGGCATTTTTCGCCACTTGTGCTCAGCTCGCGGTCATGGTCCCCGTCACACACCAAGAGATTGCTGTAATCAACGCCATCTGGGGACTATTTGGCAGCTTCGGCTCCTCAATTGGTTACGCCATTGCTGGCGCCATGTGGAACAACATTCTTCCCGGACAACTCCTCAAGCGCCTTCCTGAATCTAGTAAACCAGACTACCGCACCATCTTTGGCGATATTGAAGTTCAAAAGGCTTTCCTGGACGGTACACCTGAGCGCGATGCTATCGTTGGTGCATACGGTGATGTGCAGCGCAAGATGGTCATCACAGGTGCCTGTTTCGTTCCCCTTTGCTTGGCCTGCATTTTTGTTTGGAAGAATATCAACCTCAAGAAGCTGGAGGAAGAGAAGGGCAAGCAGACCAAGGGAAATGTTTTCTAGATGGTTTCATAGAAGCCTGGCTGCTTCTTTTCAACCTTGTCATGGTCAGACGCTCTCTATTATTGATTCGGGATACCCTCGTTGCTTTTAGATACTCTAATGTACTATCACCGCCTCAAACCCTCTCAAAACCTCTAGTGATATGTCGTCACTGAAATTGCGTCATGTGTGATATCAGTGTGATTGATGTTGTTTGCACATGAATCCACTTTGGCCTTGTGCCTCAATACATAGAACTGCTGACAAGTTATATGAGTCAATGATCCATGTCTAGTATTACACAATCTCCACTGTATTGACGCAATACCACGCAAAACTCGTGAATAAAAACGACTCGCGCGAATAGCTGCGCACGTGGCTAACATGAAAGCGATCCTATGCCCAACACAATACTTAAAAAGCGCCAGCAGCTGCCTGCCCGCGCGTTTGCTTTGACGTCACACCACGCAATGAAGCAGCCTTTTACAATAGTAAACAGACACTGCTGCCTGCGATCAGGCCACATGTTCCCCCGTAAATCGCGCCAAACGCGACGCTGAAGCCTTGACCCTCGACTATATAAACCCGTCCTCCACCCCCCTTCTGCCACTCCTCCACACTCCAACCCGTTTCCTCATCTCTAGCAATGACGAGTATATCCTTCTTATCTTTTCTATTCTTCCTCCATTCTTATCTTTTATTTTTATTTCCTGCTTTCGGCATGGTGAGTGCATAGCCGCCATTGCTATATTCTTTTTATTTTCCTCCTCTCTCCGGCCTGTAGGCTGTGATATATCTCCATATATTTCGATATATGGTGCTCCGGCATGGCGAGTGTATCCGCCATGACCGGGGATTACATACACCCCGTTTTGGGGGGTATATGGGTGTGGAGTAGCGGGTGGGTGTCCGCAGATATAGGGCGGGCCGGTGTGGCGGGGTCGTTGGGTTAGTATTTCACTTGGTTTCGTATGGGCGACACTGACATCACACAGCTCACAACAATACAAAATTCCATGTGCCAGGAGCCATTGCTCCAACAATTCTCGCTAATGGTGTTTCAATCGGGGGAGAAAATGCACTGATCCATGTATTTTGGGTGCCAGCCCAAAACAACTGGCGATGCTGGGACGAGTTCCCGGTGGAATTCCAAGATAAAATGGGCGTACTAATGAAGGAGTCAATATTCCCGAACCCAGCCCAACGCCGAGCCTGGGCTGCTATTACCCGGCAGCCGGGTCAACGCATCGATGCAAATCGATGCGTGGCGTCGATAATATTAAGCAGAGGCAGTAAGAGAGGGTCATGCAAATGGACAATGTCAGAGAATGACTCGCAGTCTGCATGCGACATCTGCATTGTAAAGAAGAGGCCATGCATGAGAATTGCCAGGGTTCCTGGTATCACAGACACAGTAATTGTATGGTCACCTCTTCCTGAAAGACTGCGCAGAGGCGTTGAACCAGGAAACATGGACTACTATGTGGCACCCTAAACTGCGAGATGGCATTGGTGGTGACGGGAAGAACTTGATCTAGGTTTTTTGCTATGCGCCCGCAAAACACTATGAAGATAGATAACTATGACAAATATTCTTGCAACCNCCCCCCCATGTCTTCCCCGCTTCCACGCCTCGAAATATAAAAGACCTTTCTTTCTATTGTCCTTCCAATCGCGCTAACGTACACGCGTCACCCATCGCACCAGCACCTCGCTAAGCATGACAAGCACGAGTGCGGGGCAAGTTCTCGCCACGCTACCATCTTCCGCACAGCATTTGCTACTTGTTATATATTAATTCAAACTCTAAAGACTTCCATCAAGTCATCCGGTATGGTGTGTAAGTAACATCTCAACAACCCATTACCCTAACAATTCCTAACAATCAATCAGATCGGCTAGCATCCGTCGCTTTCATCCTCAATGATAGCGCCCGACGAGAGCCGGGTTCGACTCCCGGTACCGGAAATTTTGTTTTTTTGTTTTTTTTTGCTATGCATGGTGCCTGAAACCTCAGGTTTGGTTGACAAATTAAGTTAAATTGGGGGTCTTTTTTTGTTCTCGTCGCCTTTTTACTTTTTGCTTCCTTTGTTTGTTTTTTGTTTGTTTGGAAGGGATGGGGAAACATGTGGAGATTGTTCTACCAGATCGCTTACAGAAAAGAAGAAAAAGAAAGGAAAAAAGAAAGAAAAAAAAAAGGTCAAAGGAGGTTGAATCAACATGACTAGGGCAGGAAGATGAGTGATTTGCATCATCATGTGCGACAAAGCGTGTTTATGCGTAGGCGCTGAGGCAGGTGGACTAGTTAGAATAAATACACGACACCATCACTCGCCAGTCTCCGTCTCGCTCTCTGGGGGAGGCGAAAGCGAGGAGGCCGAGCCAAAAGACAACAAGGCCAAAGCAGCATCACCGTGCGCCTTCCTGGTCGCTGCCTGTGGTGGCATGCCCGCGGCAATCTCCAACACTTCCAACAAGGCTAGCAGGCGTTCTGAGCATGCATGCAATAATTTGTTTGCCTGTTCTTCCTCTCGCGCATTACCTCTCTTGCCCTTTGCTGTGCCGTGGACGCCTTGTCGCGCGTCGATACCTGTCTGCATGGCGTTGCGGAGTGCCTTTGTGGGTTCAATGGCATCGTGATCCATCATGTACATGAGGAGCTGCTCTAGGATGAGAGAAATCTTGGCACTGGCAGCAAAGCTTTGCGTTGATCCTTTGAGCGGGAGGAGTTTCTTTTCAAAGTGGTCTTGCGTGGGCAGGGTGACAAAGTAGTTTGGTGGTTTTCCGCTGATCAAGGGGGAGAGGAGGTTGGAGTTGAAAGCGAATTGGATGTCGTCAGGTAGCTTCATTGTGGGGAGGAGTGCTTGGAACATGATGGTGGGCAACTGGATGAAGTCTTCGAGGACGGTATCGCAGAGGTCGAATAGGCGCGTGAAGGAGGTGGGTAGGGCTAGGGCTGCTTGTGTGAGCTGCTTCCTGTTAGCTGTTGTCGTACTTGAGAGTATAGGCTATTCACCAGAGCTAAGAGACGCTGTCGCAGCTCAATCGCATCATGTCCACCCAGGTGTTCTATAGCACCCTGTGTGCTTTGGATACTCTTGTAGTCTTGAAACGCAGACGCTTCGTCCGCATCCTCGCCGTCCTCGTCCTCGTCCTCGGATGCATCTTGCATCTCATCGTCGCTGGCATAGTCGGCAATGTCGCCCGTTTCAAAGTCGACCTCACCAATTCGCTGTTCTTCATCCTTCTTCCGCTTGGGCTCTGCTGTTTCCTTGTCCCAAATCTCAGGATATTCCCTCAGCGACTCAGGCATTCCCGTCGCGAAAATAGCCTTGACTATACGCCGCCTTCTTGCGCGATTCGTAGGTGCAGACTCATCCCCGACAATGTAGTGCCAAAGTAGACTATCCCGAACGAGGGCTTCTGCGTCCCCGTCGTCGTCTCTGCTCTGCCGGACACAGACTTCCCAGTCGGCTTCAAGAAAGTCCAGCATGACTGCCAGCCACAGCTTCCATCGACTCCACCGCTTCTTATGTACACATGCGCAGTTGAATGCCCATCCCACGATATGCCAAAAGTCTTCGGCACGGTACCACAAGCTCTTTTCGTTGGCAGCATCGCCGGCTATACGTTCAATGTCTCCACCTGGCTCAGGAGACAGACTCCCTCCACTCCTGTAACCAGGTGCGCGTCTCCTATTGCGCTCTTGGGGGAAACTAAAGGCCTTGCGTATGGTGGGGTATGCGGGGCCGTCTATGGTGGTGCGCATGCATTGCAGATAGTGTAGAGCGGCGTCTGCGCCTTTTATCGCGTCTCTCGACTGTGCCTTTGTTGTATATTTGGGATCTACGGCTAAGGAGGAGGCAAAAGCAATGTAGGCGGGCGGCGCGATGTAGCCAACATAGGGCCGTGCCGGTGTCGAGATGCTGGTTCCGGCAGCGAGCAGGCTGTACAGCAGGCCATAGCCGCTTACGTCTGGAACAATCATCAGTATAGTCTCGAATCTTGTGTCTCGCCACGTACATTGGCCGGCCTCAAGATAAGCTTTGGCATGGTTTGCAAGCTCATACGAGACTTGCTTGGTGGGCCGCCGTTGAGCACGTCGTGGACGAGCGGCTACAGCCTGGAGCGCTGGTAATGCTGCGCTGGGGTTGGCGGTGTTTGGGGGCAATTGAGAGGGTATGGGGGCAGAGGCAGGTGCCTTGAGTCGGGCCATTGAGGCGATGCGGCTTGAAGTAGTGCATAGATGATGCGGGGGACGCGGGGAGTCGGACGCGTCGGTTCACGTCGTCACGTGACCGGTGGCAACTTGCCATGTCGCAATCTCAAATCTCGTAATGCGCATCTCAGTCACAGGTTGGTTGAATGCCAAGGGATGCATTGGAAAAGTGTCCTGTGGCGAAACTTGTCTTGAGCAGCTTATTTTGTGTATCCGTCTATTGAGAATCACCATTGGCGTGTTGGGAGCGCATGCTAGGAGACTGCCAACGTTGCTATGCTTGTACGGGCTGACCAGCATATCAATTCGCAGCTCGACATTTGAAAACATAGTGAAGTCAGCAACAACATGGTGCTCAGCCGTGCCACATTGGGGCACAGCTCTGGGCGAGGCAGTGAGACTGGGCTTACGCTCTCTGCCTCTCTCGCGCAGCAAGCCGCTTTCAGCGACGAGGTTGGGTTGACGGCAGAAGATGGAAAGGGTGTGGGTGGCAGGCGGTGGTGACGTGCTAGTGTGTTTGCGAGGCAGGGAAAAGCGGGACCGGTTGGCGAGGATGGGCAGCGGTCGTGTTTGGGTGCTGCATGGGCGTGACACTTTGCGGGAAGGCGCGACTGGCAACGCAAACGGGCAACGGGCAGCGGCCAGCAAGTGGCAAGCTTGCACCTGGCAGCGCGCGCCAATGACATCACCGCGGCCAGCCCCGAGCAGGCCTCGCCCTCGCCCTCGCCCTCGCTGCTCACTACCCAGGTGCCGTGAACAGCAAAGGAGAGGGAGCAGAAGAAAAAAGGCGGCTGTGTGCACGACAAAGCCCGGCGCGGCCTGCTGGGAGAGTGGCCGAGCAATGAAACCCGGGCTTGGCCGTGGTTGACACCGGGGCAGGCACAAGTGTTTGACGGGTCGCTCCACTTCCCCCTGGCAACACCCCTACTTGCTCGACTCTACACAGCCCACCCAGCCCCCCAGCCCGCAAGGTCCACGGCGCCAACCCGTCGTCATCCTACCCCGTCGCAGCTCACGGTCATCAAAGCCAGGCCCGCCCTCTATATGTAATTGCCCGAGCACGCCCGGCTTGCCCTCGTTTCCTGCCTGCCTGCCTCCTCTCTTCAACCACGGATCACCCGCCAGTACCAGTAGCTCAAGCCTCTCCCCGGCCAATTGCCGAGCTTGCTTCTCCCGCTATTCTACACACCACGCAGCTTGGCTCTCGACAGCTCATATACTGCAAGCCCTGCCGCCCAAGTGCCCATCTGACTCTCCCACGAAGCAATGAGTGAGTGTCACCAGCTCCTTTGACCTTTTTTTCCCTTCTTCCCTTTCAACCCTACCCCATACCCCTACCCCTACCCCCCGCTGTGCGAGTTGGCCCGATTGTGCTGCATCGCCTATCATCTCAACTCTTGCTTTACCCGCCGCTGCGCCTCATACCAAGCAGCGCACTATCACCAACCTGCCTACCTCGTGCGCTTCTTCTCCCATTGGCACACACCGCACCACTAACTCCCCGGCCTTGGCAGAAGACATAAAGCGACACTTCCACCGCCACGGTCGCGCCCCCAGTTACCCCCAACAGCCTGCCATGCCCCAGCCTGCTAATGGCCGCTTTCACGATGAGCACACCCCGCTCATCGGCCGCACCCAAAACTACGCAGACGAGTCGCGCGTCAAGACGCTGCCCAAGCACATCCTGCATCTCATCTACGCCACTCTGTCCAGCAACTATGTCAACGTCTTGCTCGTCTTTGTCCCCATCGGCATCGTCGCCGGCGCCTTGTCCTGGAACCCGACCGTCGTTTTCATCCTCAACTTCATCGCAATCATCCCTCTCGCCGCCCTTTTGAGTTTCGCCACCGAGGAGCTCTCCGCCAAGCTCGGTCAAACCCTTGGTGGTTTGATGAATGCGACGTTTGGAAATGCCGTCGAGCTGATTGTATGTGCGCCCGCATCTGATGGTCCCCCCTGCCATCGCTAACCCATACAGGTTTCCATCGTTGCCCTCAGGCAGGGTGAGATTCGAGTTGTCCAGGCCAGCATGCTCGGCAGTATCCTGTCCAACATTCTTCTTGTACGTCGCGCGTCCCTTGGCTCCCGCCCAAGTCTCTTCTAACTCATTTCCAGGTACTTGGATGCTGCTTCCTTGCTGCTGGCATCAGGGAGCGCGAAAGTCGTTTCAATGAGACTGTCGCATCTACCATGTCGTCGCTCATGGCCGTCGCCTCCGCCTCGCTCATCATCCCTGCTACCCTCTACGCCGTCATGCACACCGACAGCAAACAAGGCGACCTTGAGACGGACCAGAACATCCTTGTCCTCTCCCACGGCACCGCCATCATCCTTCTCATCATCTACGTCCTCTACCTCTACTTCCAGCTTTACTCGCACCACAGTCTTTTCGCTGATGTCGAGGCACAAGAAGGCGAGGATCAGGAAGAGCCCGAGATTCTCTCGCCCAAGGCTGCCGGTGTTGCCTTGATCGTCGTTACTATCCTTGTCTCCATCTGCGCTGAGTACCTCGTCGACAGCATCGACTCGATTGTTGAATCAGCCCATATCAGCAAGACATTCGTTGGTCTGATTCTGATCCCCATCGTTGGAAACGCCGCCGAACACGTCACAGCCGTCGTTGTCGCATACAAGGGCAAGATGGACCTCGCTATCAACGTGGCCATTGGATCCTCTATGCAAATCGCCCTCTTCGTCACCCCCTTCCTCGTCATCCTCGGCTGGATCATCCACCAACCCATGACTCTCCACTTCCAAGGTTTCGAGACGATGATCTTCTTCATCTCGGTCCTGATTGTCAACTACCTGATCCAAGACGGAAAGAGCAACTATCTCGAGGGCGCCATGTGCATTGCCATCTATGCCATCATCGCTCTCGCCTTCTACATTTATCCCGACAACGCTGCCGGCAACATCACCAACGAGGTTATCAGGCGCTTCTTCGCCACGAGCTAGATCACGACCCTTTCTTTTTTTCGGTTTCAACATTGAGCGCGCATGCTACCTGCAAGCCAGGCCTATTCATGCGCTTGTTGCTGAGAGCAACCCCCTTCCCCCGTTTCCTTATGTTTCGTGTACCAAAAGACAGAGCAAATTGCAGCTTACATCACTTTATGTTTAATCCTTCATGGTGGATGTTTCCTATATGTGTTTTTTTCCTATGTATGTACGGTGGGCGGTTATCCTGTGGTTCTTTTTCCCTGTACGAGTATCTGTGGGGCGGTGCAACTGGTCTTGGCGTTTTCTCTGCTTGTGGCAGTGCGGCGGGAACAAGCGAAGTGTGGCTGATCACGATTTCTTCGGTCCGTGCACCACCCCGATCCCCGGGCCCATCAGTGCATCAGCGTGGGCATCGGGGGCCCATTGTCGTCTGAACTGTGCACAAAGTTAAATATGTCGGAAAAAAAAATAAACAGAGAAAATGCTTAAAGAGACGTCGTCGTGGTGCTTCTACCGTCGTGCAACATGTTCTCCGTCGGCTCCAATTTTTTTTATCTCGGCCATTCACACGTACAAACTCTATCGGACCATCGGCCTCTCTCGGGCCCCGGACAATCTATCGGCCGTCTCTGTCACCCGCTCTCGCCCGCCTGCCTGCCAACCATGCATCCAATTTCATACCAATGCTCTGCTTCCCTGTCCCACTCATCTTACTTTCTCTCTCACTCCACCCCATCCGATTCGCCTCATTCTTCGTACCTATTTACTTGCCCCCCTTTGCAAATTCACCCAGCGCTGCTGCCCACACAAGATACCACGTACGGCTCGCCCCAGCGTCCATCCACCGCTCGTCCTAGAAGCCGTTGACTCCATCGCGGAAAAACCCATAGCTGGCCTTGGCATCCACAATAGCTAGATTTGCATACAGGACAGATCGCCATCCTCCTGTTTTTTTTGTTCCAAGTTGATGCGTTAACAGACGTCATCTTGGCAGACGTGATGTAGGAGCGTGCAAGGGGATCATCTTTCTCACCATCTACATTTGCCTTTCCATTGCTGAAAAACTTGTCCCATTCTTCCTTGACAAATGCCCGTGGCCGGATCAGCAACGTTGCCGGCGTAATAGGCGCCATGTGGATACCGTGTACGAGTTCGGGCGCCAGTCCAAAGTACGCTTTTGCAGAATTGCCGTCAGCAACGTTTACTCCCTGCATATCACCCGAGTGTCCTTGACAACTCATCCTACTCTCCTGGAGTACAGCTTACAGCAAATACACATGGTGCTGTGACGCGCATACGTACTCGCATGATCTACTTTATTCTCAAACAAGATACCGCACACCTTGTTCTGCACATAGCGCACCGGATGGTTCCGGTTCCCCGTCTGCAGGTAAATGTATGTGTTGTACGACCGTGCCTGAATAGCCAGCATCAGGTTGCCTGCATGGCGTTTGTGCCACCCCGTTAGTCGGACTTTTCTTCATTGCTCAGGTCGACGAAACGCACCTCTCCTCTCCATGTTTGCGTCGCCAATGATTTTTCCCCACATCTTCATCGCAAAGCTCGAGAATGCGTCTTCACCAGTGCTCTCCATATCTTTGCCATGAGCACTCTCGAACAAGCCTTTTGCCCAGCTGTGACCATGCCACCAGTCAAACGCTCGAAAAAATGGGTAGTCTCGGCTGCTGTAGTCACTTTCCGCAAAATCCTTGACCAGCATGTTCGTCCATGCCTTGTTGTCACCTTGATACACCCACTCTGGATCCAGGTACCCAATGACCGCGGCCGTGTAGATGAAATATGCATAGTGAAAGTGATGGTCGTTGTAGTACGTGTTTCCAAAGTCAGCCGACGAATCGGTAAATCCTGCCGATGAGACGACGCCTTTCCAACTGTCATCGTAGTAAAGCGCGTACCTTTGTTGGTTCTCGACGTACTTGGAGAACTCTAGTTTGATCTTGTTTAAACCAGCCGTAGCAATGGCATCGTGGCCAAGGATATCTTTGATGACCCATAGGATAGTGGCAAATTTGGCAAATGCTTTACCTGCGTAGTACATTGTCTCTTGGGGTATGCGCTCCGTCATTGCACGGCGCAGGTCGCGCTCTGCCACTGCCGTGATGAAGGCGAGCACTTCGGGCGGGTAGCGTACATTGGCGTTCAAGGCCAACGTAGGGTTCCACGGTCCGAAATGCATGGTAATAGGCATGCTGGGCTCGACAAAAGTCAGGCGGTCACCCCACACAGCTGTTGCCATGCCTTTAGTTGAGGTGCGTAGCTGCAGATTGGTGATTTGCTTTCGCATATCCGCATCCAGAGACTGTATGTGATGCGGTAAAACAAACATGAGTAATGGAGAGCGACCAATCTTGGTATACTTGAAAGTGTAACTGCCTTTGCTGTCTTGGACAACAGCACTGAGCTTGGCCTCGCAGACGAATGCACCGCACGCGCGGTCGTACATCACTTCTCCTTCATTTCCTAGTGGGTTCTTTGCTACTTGAATCGTTCCCTTGAAGCTTGGCGGACCGAGTAAAGTGTTTTTGTTAAGCATTCGGAAATTTGCCGCGTCATAGTCAATGTCGACTACCGGATTGACATAAACAACCCAGCGGTGGCCATTCTTGTCGTTGAGACGATACTTGACGGTTCGTCCTAGTAGTATTGGCCCGGTCATGTCCACGAAACCTCGGCGACCCGTGTGAAGCATCGGGGTCGCGTCTCTATATCCAGCCGTGACGAAGCTCATTCCCTGTACAACCGGAAAAGTAATCTTCGGCTCATGCGGAATTGAACGGGACCCAAGGTTGATATTGACAGAGAAGGGAAGGTGTGTATCGGTAGTGAGCGTGGTTCGAGCGTCAAGTTCGACTGCCGTGAGAACAATGTGTTGTTTGTGTGGTGGATTGACGTAGCTGTTGGCAGGCTCCCCAGGTTCAAATACCAGATCAGTTTCCTCAATATGGCTCACACACATACCCCATGTTTGAACCATGCCTGGCTGCGCAAGGCCTTTGCCCCACCAAAGGCTGTATGGATGCGTCCATATTGGCTGGTTCTGCTTTCCAAGAAACGTATTGGCATAGAACTTGTTTGTATGTAAGGTCCTCATGTCGTCATCCTCCACCCCCTTCCTAGGCACTGGATGGTCACGGCCGATTGGAATTTGCGGGAGTATGTCATCTTCTTGTATCTTTGTGAAGATGTCATTGAGTGTAGTATCTTCTGCCATGCATGATGCGTCATAGCCAAGGGAGCTTCTGATACTTTGACGGGCAGAGCGCCAAGGTCCCAATCGTGACTCTTTCTTGGTTGGCTGTGAAGTTTGTGAGGGCGGTTCGGTCGGACGGGACTGGGTTGGGCCCATGTAAAACTATTGTGAAGTACCTCACAAGTGACGGAGCTGTCGGTGTGAACGTCTAGGAAAGTAATAGGATTGTTGTAGTGAATGCGTCGAGGGATGAATAACGCCCCGGGAAACTGTGAGCATCAACTAGCATATCAGTGCAGGCAAGAGTGCCCATAGAGAAGAAAAAAACAAAGGGTAGTGGCGCGATTGCAAGTGTGGGAAAGGGCTCAAGTGATGGAAAGACTTACTTGATAGCTGCGTTGAGATTCGCGCATTTGCGTCAGTGATCCCATCCCAAATGCATCGCGACCGTTTGAAGGCCGAGTAAAGTATTGTTCAAAACATTGGGGAGATAGAATACATGCGTAGGGGAGTCTAAGAGAGCTTCGTATGGGTGTGATGTTGGTTCCTTCCTCACAGCCACGGAGCCTACCCTGCAGTCTGTCACGTAACAACTAAGTTCAGCCATGTACAGTAACCAGTAAAAGACACAAAATGACAAGAAAATATCTCTCGATTGACTATGTGAAACAAGAAAACTTATTTTGCCTCCCTCATACCAGCGGCTTCCGTAGCGGCTTGATGATACCCTGTTTGACAATAACCCTCGGTCTCGTGACGTCTTGGTGTGTCTTCTTGGTGACCCACTCCTTGCCCTTTGGCACCCGCAAACTTCTTTCATACTGCTCCCTATTCTCAAATGGGAACGGCAATTGGCTAGCCATATATTTGGTGTTAGGCTTGACCCTTCTCTCATTGATGATGACCTTGTCCAACTTCTTGTCCTTGCGCTTGGTGGCATCGATGCCAGGCTTGTGGGTTACAGTTTTGGCGCCAATGTTGCGCTTTTTCTCAGCTTTTGACATGCCTTCTCCGGTCCACGCACCCCAGCCAGGAAGGATGGAGGTGGTTTCGGTAGTCTCTTCCTCAGCAATGGTGGCCTTCTTCTCAGCATCGAACTCGGCGACTACATCATCACCCGCAAAGCCTTTAGCTGTGAGAGCCTGATTGCGCATGACAAGGTCAAGGTCAATGCCTTCATTTTCAATGTCTTCATCGTCCTGATCTTCATCATCATCATCTTGGCCACCCAGCACGGTCGCCCAGCCATCGTCATCAGCGGCAGTAACGCGCTGCTTGAGGAAATCGTCCACCTTGGTTTCCTGTGGTTTCTCTGCCTGTTTTGACTTTTTCTGCGCTTTTGATTTCGCAGCTGGTTTTGACGCTACGACAACCTGCTCTTGAGCTATAGGCTTTGAGACTTCTGTGACAGGGAAAAGCTCAGGTTCCTTTGGCGCCTTCTTTTCCTTCTTCGCCTTGACTAAGAAGGGGTTGGAAGTGCCGCTCTCATTTTCGGTTATTTGCGCTGGTGCAGCATTGCGCTCCTTGCGTGTACCGTTAGAGAGACCACTGATGCCGTTTTTCTTTGACGTGGAAGATTTGTTCGATGATGGCTCTGGTGCAGAATCTTCGTCCTTTGCAGCAGGCTGCTCGTCGTCTGACCCAGCATGCTCCTCGAACTCGCTGCGGCCGATTTGAATTGCTGGAGCGGCGACATTGCCATTAGGCCCATATCTCCGTCGTCCAGCCTTGGTTGCGTTCTCGTCAATCTCATCTTCGTCACTGTCTTCGCCAGCAAGCTCTCTGCGGATGCGCTCAACAGCCTCATCATTCTCCGCACGCCTGGCAGCTTCTGACCTTTGCATAAAAGCCATTGCTCCCAACTTGGACTTGCCAGTTGAAAATGGATTCTCCTTGAGCTTGCCGAGGGACTTTTCAAGTGCATCTTCATCCGACTGATCGTCGTCTTCACTTTCCTCATCGCTCGGTACATCAGAGCCCTCTTCGTCATCGCGGATAGTCTTGCCCTCAACGCGGCGACGAAGCTCCTCGTTGCGTCTAGCCATTTCTGTCACGCCATCAAGCGCATCCTGGTCCCATGCTGCTCGCCCTGTGGCCTTGATGCCCCGAGCCCATTTGCTTTCGCGATGTTTGGCGCCCATGCGCTCCTCAGCCCGTCGACGATCGTTGTACTCGCGCTCTTCTTCCGAAAGATCAACGCCGTCCGCCTTGAGTTGCTCTCGCTCCTTTTCCAACATCTTCTCGCGTTCCTTTCGGTGCACACGGCGGTAGGCCTTGCTCTTAATTTTCTTGATACGCTTGGCGCGAACCTCCTCACGGAAGAGTAGCTCGCGCTGCATACGCAGTTCAGCACGTCGCTTAAGGACTTCTTCCAATGGGAGCTTATTGGTTTGGAGCTCCTCCCACTTCTGCAGTTTTTCCTCGTCTTCCTTGCCGTTGGACAGGCCACTTTGCTGAAGGATCGACTGAATGGTGCTTTCGAGGTCGTTTGCAGGAGCAGCAGTTGTAGTGGGCTGTAGAGTCTTCTCTCCTGTAGGCTCGCCCCCGCTAGCATTTTGTAGAGGGAACATGAGATGCTCAGCGCGGCGGTTGCGCTTGATCGTGTCAGTCCACCTTTCGAGGGTTTCATTTGCTTTGGCGTTAGCAGCAGCACGGTCAAGCTTGTCTTGTGCACGCTTTGGTAGAGGTGCATCTAGCTTCCGCGCAATGTCGTTACGTTTCGACGACTTGTCGTCTTCGAGTAGTTTGAGCGCTTTCTTCTTTTCTGCGTCTGCGACCTTTGGCTTGAGACTGAGTAGGTCTACCTTTCTTGCGACACCAAATTCGTCAGGTGCAGCAGATTCGTGAACCTCGGCTCTCTTGCCCTTGGGTTTGTTATCCTCCTTGGATGCCAGGGATGAGATTAAATCTTGTAGTCGCGCCTGTCGATCGTCGGCATCATCGCTCTCGTCGTCAGAGAACGACTCAAAATCATTGTCTGACTTTATGACATCGTCATCGCTTGATTCGTCATCGCTGTCGCCAGATGCCGAAACGCGCTTCTTCTGCTTGTTCTTCTCTCTCCGCTCTTCTGCCTCATCCTCTTCGTACTGATCCAGCGCGGTTGCCAAGTCAATAGCATCCTCACCCAGATCGTCTTCGTCATAGTCCTCTTCACCATCTGCACTGTCGCCCTCATCCAGATCGATGTCGCCGTCCTCGTCTTGCAGATCCTGCTGTCTTTTGGCCTTTTTCGGCTTGTTCTTTTGGCTCTTTGAGCTGCCCCGGAACGTGTAGCCCTCGAATCTTTCTTCATCGCTCTCGCCAAAGGCTTCGTCAGAGTCTATGCTGTCGTCGCTGTCGTCGTTGTCCACGTGGCCCATTTGCCAGGTATTGCCCTCCGAGTCGCTGCCTTCGTCGTAACTCTCGTCGCCCGTTCTCCTCTTTCGCCTCTTGGGGCCCTCATCTTCGTCTTCGTCCTCGTCTTCCTCATCGTCGTCATCGTCGTCGCGCGCTCGCTTGCGGTTGAAGGTGGGGTCGAATTCGCCCAGGCGGTTCTTACGAACCTTGGGACTATCCAGATTCTCGTGCTCGGCTATGGCATAGGCATCAAGGGCGCGCTTCTGCGCCTTCTTGGGGTTTCGCGCATTGGAGCGACCTTTTGAAGAAGAGCCGCCGCTCTGAATTGAGCTTCTTGCAATGCGAGGCGGCATTTTGCTGTTGTTGGTGTGGTGGTGGTGGTGAAGGTCGCTGGGGCGGGCAAATCCAAAAGTCGAAATCTTGGCTGCACTTTTTTCGAGTCGTGGTCCGTGCCACCTCCGCGCGAACTCCGCAGCGTCCATCAACTTCTGCGCATACCGACGTCGTTTTGGCATTGCCTTGCTTCATCACACGCCGACGAGCGGACTGCCGCAATGTTCAAGCCCACGCCTTCTCTGCAGAAGATGCTGCGGCGTCTGCCGCTCTCCCCGAAACAGGCTGGCAAGGAATACTACAAGGGAAACCGCGTGGGGTCCATGGGCACAATCAACAAGTACGGCAATTTCACGCCAGACTGGAGCAAAATACGGACATATGTGTATCCGATACATGGCACCAAGAACAGCGAGGTATGTGCGAAAAGGCGCGGGATTGTGCATGGGTAGTGCACAGGGGACAGTAGGCTGACAATGAGTAGTTGACACCCTTTGTGGATGCAAGCCTAGAGAAAGTACGAGACTTGGACTCAGGCACCGCGCAAAATTACCCCAAACGTTTCACCGGCGAAGACTACCTGAGGGCCTGGAAGATGTCCGGTGGACACGATATTGTGGAGACTGCAGATAGCGCATCGGATTCGAGCCGAAACATGCCAACACCTTTCGAGGAACGACCCGCCACAAAATCATGACGCGAAGCAGGCGAATAGCTGCGAATAAATTTTGCATCGATTGCATTGTTGGGATGAGGGTGGGCATATCTGGTGATTGCGTGAGGAGGCATGGTTGGTCGTTCAGCCCACCAGTCCATATGAAAATACCGAAGACCTCATGGGAAACGTCTGAATGGGCGTCGCATGTATTGTACATTACTTTTTGGGTATCATGCTCCCACTGAACCTATACCAACAACTTGAACCACACATTTACAATCCACACCTCAAGCCTCTCTCCGCACACCAAAAAAGTAATTCCCCCATTGCTCGCTCCCTCGGACTTCCTTCCACCCCAGCCCAGGCACATACATGACACCCATGCTCTTCACACTACCCCATCCAGGCTGCTTTGCAAACCAATTCCTTAGCTCCTCTTCATTGACATACTTGCTCCACTCATGTGTTCCCTTGGGCACCATGCCCAGCACATCCTCTGCAATTACATTCGTAACTAGCCAGCTCGTCCATGTCCTTGCTATCGTGCTCATTACAAGCCATCCTCCGGGCTTTACATGTGGCAACACGTGCTCTAAAAACGGGCCTGGGGCGTTGACGTGTTCAATGACTTCGAAGAGCGAGACAATATCGAACGCCTCTGTATCCGAGCTTGGGCGAGGAAAATCTTCGATGGAGGTGTTCAGATATGTGAGTTTGCCAGGCGATGTCAGCACAGGGTCCCGGCGCTTATGCGCTTCGGCGATAGTGAGAACCTGAGGTGTGGGGTCTATTGCTGTGACAGACGTGGTGCTTGGGAGCCGTGCAGCTGATTCAGCAAAAATTCCACCGCCACAACCAATATCTAGGTAACGGAGTTTCTGGCCTGGTGTGGCAGTGACTGCGGTGGAACGACACCGCGTTATGAATTCGTGGCGAAGGGGATTCATCAGGTGCAGGGGCCGTGAGGGGCCGTGAGGATCCCACCATGATGACGCGAGCGCATTGAAGTGGGAAACTTCAGTTGGATCGACCGTGGAGTTGGGTGTAGGGTTGTGGTGTTTTGGAGGAGTGGTCGTTATACTTCGCGATACGAATGTGGGGAGTCTGTGGAACGGCACAGGTCTTTGGAATAGATGAAAACATGGTGATTGTGAAATATGGGTTCGAATTGAGCCTATCGCTCTCGTGGGATTTGACGGCTTCATTGCTGATGTGTGGGCTTGCAGTATTCTGTGTGCATAGACGACGCGGTTGGCGTTGATGTCACCAAAAGTTTTGGGGGGACCGTGCACAAACACCGATCGTCAGGCACCCCAGCCTCGGCCCCGCGTCACGACCCCTCCACAGTGCCACTCTTCTCAGCTATGTGTTCTGAATCGAAATTTAAGTTGATTGGCGTGAAACTTTTCACGGCTAGCTCTGGATTTTTTGCACCCTCTGCTGCCTCAATGCGTAATATCTAGACTTCTGACAAGCATGCGAACAGGATCGATAATCGTCATCTCTGGACCACATTGAACTGAGGACTGTGATCATGCATCAACATAGGGCTCAGTGCTTCAGCTTACTGACTAATCTTGGTACACTTGACAAGGCAGAGGTGAAGGCGATTGTGACAACGAAATATTTAATAGGGTTCTCTCCCACGGGTCCCTGATTTCCTCTCCAAAATCTTTGTGCCAAACCAAAAATATACGAGCCTAGACCTTTACCTAGTACAACTACTTTTGCTTTGCCAGGACAGCATTCACAGCGCCCTTTGACAAGTCTTTCAGGGTACTCTGCATCAACTCGAGAATGCTAATCTCATAGCCAAGTTGTTGCTTCGTCCAATTCCTCAGTTCAATGCCTACCAAGCTATCCAATCCGATCGAGCTCAACGACTCATCAATATCCATATCATCAACATTCCGCATCAGGAATCCGAAGAGCGTCTTGCCGATTTCCTTGGCTACGTACTCTACGCTTTCATCAGACGCAGAACTCAAGCCGGATATGTAAGCCTTCAGATTAGATGATGTAGAGGACGCAGAACTGTTCTCCACATCAAGTGTTCGTGCGATAGCGAAACGGCGGTCGTGCTTCCAGATCACACGATTGTTGGGGTCGTACATTGAGAGAGTAGTGCGGACGCCTGGAGCAAACTGGCCCTGGTCGGAGAAGCCATCACCCTTCCAAATTAAAGCAGGGCTTGAGCGAGAGATGGCGAGCCTCACGATATCGAAGATGTCCTTCTCAGTCAGCGTGGTAGATGACTGTGATTTGAAGTAGTCGAGCAAGTTTTCGGTTGCGGCGACGAAACCAACATCCTCCATGACGCCCAAGTCGATGACGGAAGCCGGAAGTCCAAGACTGTGGCGGTACTGCGTAAAAGCGTCGAGGAAGGTGTTTGCTGCTGCGTAATTTGCTTGACCAATTTGACCCATCAAGCCGCTTATGGAAGAGAACATGATGAAGAAATCAACGTCTGGTACGGCGTGGTGTAGGTTCCATGTGCCGGTGACCTTGGGCTCAGTGGCTGCCTTCCATGCATCCCAGGTCATCGATCCAATGGCTTGATCGTTCAACACCATGGCAAGCTGGATGACACCGCGGATAGGCTTTGTAGCAGTCTTAGCCGCATGTTTTACCAGGTCGAGATCGGCAGCTGATCCTGCCAGTACCTGAACCGAGCATCCGAGGACCTCAAGCTCCTGGAGGAAGTGCTCATTCTTTGATGACCTCCCTGAACGGGAGATGAATATGAGGTGTTTAGCCCCATTGAGAACGAGCGACAGAGCGATGGAGCGACCGATACCTCCCAAACCACCAACCAGCAGATATGAATAATCTGGGTGGACGTTGAGTTTAGGATGATGTTTCTTGCAGGTGATTTCCTTGAACACCTTCGGATCCTCGGGCATAGTCACCGTGATCTTGCCTATGTGTGTGCCTTTTTGCATGTAACGGAACGCATCCGCAATCTCTGTGACACCAAAGTTCTTGATTGGGCGAATCGGTTGGATGTGTCCTGCGGAACTCAATTCAGCCAACTCACGCACGAGTCTTCCACACAAATCAGGTCGCGCGTGCTGGATATGGTGAGCATCCACGCCGATGAAGCTGCGGTTGTCAGTGAAGCCGACGAGGTCTATTTTTCCGTGCCCGTAGAAGTCGCGCTTTCCGATTTCAATCATTGCACCAAAGTCGCCGATACACTGCCAGGTCTCGTGTAAAAGCTCACCGGCGAGAGAATTGAGAGCAATATCGACACCACGTCCGTTGGTTGCTGCGAGGATTTCCGTGCGGAATGCATTGCTGTGAGAGTCAAATATTTGCTCACGTGGAATGCCAAAGTTGTTGACTAAAAACTCAACCTTGTCCTCAGTGCCAACTGTTGCGAAAATCTATGAAGAGTTAGAAGGGTCAAGAGAGGGATACGCAGAGTCATTACCTTAGCACCAACCATTTTGGCAATATTGATGGCTGAGATGCCCACACCTCCCGCAGCAGAATGAATTAAAATAGTCTATAGCATGTTAGCACTTTTTTCCACCCCTGTTCTAGTAGAAATACTTACATCGCCTTTGTTCAGCCGGCGAGCATGTCGCAACGCGAATATCACCGTCAGATAGGTAGTAGGCATCGTGGCTGCCTCCTCCATGGTCAAGTTATCTGGGACTTTGGCGAAGAGCTCAGCCTTATCGAGCACACGATTAGAGTAACTTTCAGCAACCATGCCAAAGACACGATCGCCGACTTTGAAGTCTGTAACGTCTGAACCAACCTCGGTTACGATAGCGGAACATTCTCCTCCAAGATCGCTGCTATCAATGAGGCCTTGCGTTTGGACGATATCCTAGGTACTTTAGTTAGTGTGTTGAGGAACGGATGTTTGGGACTCACTCTAAAGTTCACGCCCACTGTATGCGGACGAACAGCAATTTCGTTGGGTGCACACGGCCGACTGACAGCTTCATTGTCCTCCCAACGCAAGCCATTGATGGAGCCCTTCTGACCGATACAGAGATGCTTGTTCTCGACCTCTTCGGCAGCTTTCTCCAACTCTTCCTTGATGGAGACCCAATGATACCTTGGCAGATGAATAACTCCGTTTTTGATCGCAAATTCAAAGTCGGGCTCCATATCGTCGTCTGGTGGTGGGGTGTTGATTTTTTCATAGACCTGGACGACCTTCTGTGGGCTGCTAGGGGCGTTGACTTCATCGATCTCGAGAGTTGTAATGGTGATTTTCTTCTCTGAGCGGAGGGTACGCGCGAAGCCGAGGGACATGGCATAGCCAGGCTCTGTTGCGCCCATGGATGCTGTTCGCGTAATCCAGAGCCACTTTTCAGCGCCCATTCTGCCGACCATTTCAATCCAGTACTCAAAATCAGTCTGTTTCATATCGTGAAAGAAGGGCGATTCAAGCTCCAGGAAGGAAACAACATCTTGATCAACGGGGAGGGGGCTTCCAAAGGGTACTGGCTGAACCGAGTGACCATTGGCCTCGAAAGTGGCCCGGTACGACTCTAACTGTGCATCAAAATCTCCACGATACAAAAAGGACACACTCTTCCTGGCGGGTGTCGGCTGGGCAAGCGAAGAGATAATGGTGGCGGAGACCTGGAATGGCGGCGTGGTATCGTACCATTTCGCATCGACACCAGTGAAGCCGGCGGCCTTTAGTTCAAGATTCCATCTGTCTGGAGTCATATATGGCTCATCCACGCGACCATCGTCTTCACCAAGCCACCAACCAGAGAAACCAGCCATGATGAAGTTGACCCACTTGGCGGGCATATCCATCTCCTGAAGCATCAGTCGGCCGCTAGGGTGTAACAGCTTCTTCACTCGCGATAGGGTGTCTTGAATCGAAGGCGTGGCATGGAGAACGTTTGCTGCAACGATGAGATCGTACGAGCCTTCTTCAAACCCTTGCGCCTGCGGGTCTTGGGTGATGTCAAGGACTGAATACTCAATGCCCTGGTATTCCTTGAAACGCTCTTTCGCGGCGACAAAGAATCCAGCTGAGATGTCTGTGTAGTCATATTTGGAGTACAAACGCTCTCCAAATTCGGAAATGAGTCCTTGAAGCAGGTTCCTTGTGGTACCTCCAGTACCAGCTCCGATTTCAAGAATCTTCATCGTTGGCTTACAATGACCAAGGACCTCCAGAAGAGGAGCATAGTCCCAGCACACGCTGAAGAAGGCGTAAATCTGCATCAAGATATTGTCCTCCATGAGGTAGACAATGTTCTCTGCAGTGCCTTCAAGAAGGTCCTTTGCATTCTCATGGACTCTTCGAATTGCTGTTTCCATAGTTGGCGTCCACTTGGATGCTGCAAGCTCCGCTTGTAGTTCACGAACCAAGGCATTACGCTTGTCTTCAGAAAGAGAAGCCAGTTGAGGGCCCTCGGGGAGAATAAGGTGATCCCCTCGGGATACTTTGTCAACATACGATTTGAGCCACGTTCGGAACTTCTTTCCATGAGGTAGCTTTACGTCCTCTACGCTGTCCATGATCTTGACAGTATCAATCGCGCGGAGGAAGAAATACTTCTCAAGTTGGGCACTAGGCTCTGTCATGTCGACTGGCGCATGAACCAGGTCCTCAAGATCCAAGAAGTCAACGTCAGGCTTCCAAACGACTTGAACGGTGTTCTTCAACTCCTCTTTCTGCTCTTCACTTTCGCCTAGAGGCGAAAATTTGAGGCCCCTCATCTCGCAAACAAGTTTGCCGTCAGAAGTGCCGACTGAAGAGCCACACCAGGCTCCCATTAAGTCTTGCCACGCCTTGGTCGTCACTTTGATCTCTTTCATCCCACCAGAGATATATAGTTCCCCAATGTATGTAGGCATACTAAGTTGGTTGAACAGTGAAGGATTGCCTTGGTACATAGAGACAGTCATGGGCTGGAGCAGATTGTCCAATATGCGCGGATGCACTTCGTAGAAACACCCGGTTTCATCCGAAAAATTGCCCACAGTGCATACTGCTTCGTGTCCAATCGGATTTGCTGAGATGTCTCGCATGTTCCTGAAAGTAGGACCGTAAGTGAACCCGATCCTCTCCATAATCCTGTACCAGCCTTCGGCAGAGACCTTTCTCAGATAGTTAGGCTGAGGTTCCGGCTGCATGTTAGGACGAGCTGGACCTGATTTTACCTGCCCAGAGCAGTGCTCACTCCAGGTAGAGCCGTTGAATGAAGTGATACGGAAGTCCCACCAGTCAGTATCGATGGTCGTCGTGACCTTTGAGCGCTTGAAAGTGGTGACGATATCGACGGGCCGCGTGTCATTGACGATCATGGCACTGCGAATCGAGAATTCACGCATAGAGTAATCAGAGCGTCCTGTAAGCTGCCTGATAGCTTCACCTGCCATGGAGACATATCCAACAGCAGGAAATACGGTATCAGAGCCAATTACATGGTCGCGTATCCAAGGCACGTCACCGAGACGCAAGACCTTTCTCCAAGTAGGCATGAGGTGACTGCTTCCGGGCAACCGTACACCTAGTGTTTCGTGTGGAAGGAAATTTCGGTTCTTCCACTCACTGCACATGCGGCTTTCAGCCCAGAACTTGACCGAACGGTCCCACGAGTAGGTCGGAAGATCGGTCAGCACTGAGCCAGTAGGGTATAGAGCGCTCATATCGACAGTGACATTGTTTCTCCAGAGATTCCCGACGGCATTGTACACTGACTCGGTATCATCTTGACCCCGTGCCAAACTAGAGACGTAGGTCAAAGTCGCATTCTCAGCCGAGAAGATTTGACGAAGAGGTCCAGCAAGAGCTGAGTGGGGCCCAATCTCAAGGAAAACAGGATTTTCTAGGTCAGATTGAATGATGTTGCGGACTGCTTTACTGAACAATACTGGGTTTTCAAGGTTGCTTCGCCAGTATGACGGGGTGAATGTGCTTGCCGAAGTGATAATCTCACCGGTAACTGACGAGAAGAAGGGAATGTTGGGTTGGTTGGCGGCAGAGACGTCTGAGAGTGCTTTCTCATAGGCATCACCAAAGACTTGCATGTGGTCTAGATTGGTTAGCAGCGATATCCATGTCTTCGACGTTGGAGTTTACTTACGAGAATGATAGGCATTGTCGACTTGCAGAGGACGCACAAAGACATCAGGCGATTCCTCGCGAAGGGTGGCGATGAATTCCTCAACTGCACTACGGTCGCCGGAAATTGTAGTTGAAGTTGGACTGTTCTCACATGCAACCACTACTCCTGGCTTCAGAAGCTTTCGGACCTGATCTGGACCAAGTCCCACAGCCGCCATCGTTCCCTCGGCCACCTTTTTGCTAGTGATCAGGCCCCTGAAGTAAGCTGCGAGGACTGCTTCCTTCTTTGTAAGGCCATTCGTGGCATATGCTGCGGCAATCTCTCCGCTTGAATGGCCGACAACAGCATCGGGCTTGACGTTCCACGTACGGAAGAGATCTACTAGAGCGATTTGAATGACAGTGCATAATGGCTGAGAAAATTCCGCTTTTGAGATCTGACTTCGTATTTTTGGTTTGCTCAATTCCTCTGCCCAAGTTTTATTAGGAAGTTTCTTATTCAACGAGAAGATTTCTATACCTAGTATGTTCCACGACGGCGGGGTGTGGCATTCTTGTAAGATTTTGTTCATCTCCTGTATATTCTCTTTGACAGAAGGAAAGTCTTCTATTAAGTCTTTTCCCATCTCCGCCCACTGGGCGCCCTGACCAGTGAACACGAAAACCGTAGAACGAGTAGTCATTTTAGTTCTCAAGGATGGTAGAGCCGCAAGTGGCTCTTCGCCGTCGGAAACGCAGAAAGTGCGGTGCTCATGGTGCTCCCTACGTGTACCGAGTGTATACGCAATATCACCCAGTCGCGATGAGCCGTGTTTCTGGATGTAATCTGCGTGCTTATTAATAGATTCTTGGAGAGAGATCTCACTCCTTGCAGTGAATAGAAGCAGGGAAAGCCTTGGCTTTTGCTCAGTAGACAGCAACTTTGGTCGATTCACTCCGTGAGCAGCGGCTGATTCCAAGATAACCTATGCCTCTCGTTAGCCCAAAGACTACTAGCTAGTTAAATCTTAGAAAGACATACGTGTGCATTCGTTCCGCCAATGCCGAAAGAGTTTACTGATGCTCTCTCTAGACGATCCGATGGCCACTTCATACATTCAGTAGGGACCCTGAGATTTGCTTCTTTCCAAGGAACTGCAATCTCTCAGTCAGTATATACTCAAACAAAGGTCTGGATCTCATACTTTTCGGATTAGGTGTTTCAAAGTTTACGTTTGGTGGGATGATTTGGTGCTCCATTGATAAGATGGCCTTGATGACTGATGTGTTTCCACTCGCGCCTTCCGAGTGCCCAATATTGGATTTGACCTAGAGGTTTCAGTGTTTTCTTTGAGGAAGGAGTATTTGGTCATTTACCGATCCAATTATCATGCCATCCTTGCCAAAAACACGAGCCACAGCGCCGACCTCGATTGGGTCACCGACCGCAGTGCCCGTTCCGTGGCACTCAAAAAAACCAGTTTTGTTGAGATCTTCCTCTGAAATTCCTGCAGTACGGTATGCGGCCCTAATTAGAGCCTCGTGGGCGACCGTGTTGGGTTGGGTGATTCCCGGTGTTTTGCCGTCATCGTTGCAAGCAGTTGACCGGATGATCGCGCGTATGGGATTTCCGTCCCTCAGAGCGTCGTCCAAACGCTTCACAAGCAGAGAAGACACTGCCTCTCCTCTACCATATCCGGTTGCCTTTGCATCAAATGAACGGCATATTCCGTCCGCAGAATTAACTCCTTGTGCGACCAGCGCACAGGAGAGAGCGGGGCTCATGATGAGGTTGGCACCGCCAACGATTGCGGCATCACAGTCTCCAGCACGTAGTGCCTTGACTGCCTGATCGAGACATACCAATGATGCAGAGCATCCTGTCTTGATTGTCATGCTGTTCTTCCTTAGCTATCATCGCAAGTGTGAGGGTGTTAGGTACGTACCTAGGTCCAGTCCAATCAAATTCGTGAGAGACACGGTTACCTAGAATTTAGTTAGCTTAGACTCAAAAAGACTTTGGGGACACAACATACTTCCAAAGAGATCCAAGTGACCTGTGAGGGACAGGAACTCATGAGGTTCTGAATCCTTCGACTGCATCTCGACATAATCGTCGGCAAACATGCCCACATAAACACCTACCTTCTTGCCTCTAAAATTACTTTCTCCAGCATTCTCAAGCGCCTCGTACGTAGTCTCCAATAGGACCCTATGTTGTGGGTCGACCTTGGCAATCTGTGCCGCCGACATTGAAAAAAAACTTCCATCGAAGTCCGCTGGATCAATGCTGCCCAGAAAGTTACCCTTATTGACCTTTGTGGTACCAGGCCGCCCGTGTGGATCGTAGAAGCCTTCGCTGTTCCATCGACTTGAAGGAATGTCGATCATTCCGTCACGCTGGTTGATGAGTAGGTCCCAGAAAGCTTCACTATTATGACAATTCCCTGGCAATCGCATTCCCATCCCGACTATAGCTATCGGTATAGCTGCATGCGAGGATTTGCTTGTAGGGGTTGAGAACCTAATCTGTAAGTGAAGTTCTTAAGTGGGAGATGTGCCTTACCCGTCTGGAGAACTATTCGCGTTGCTTCCAGTAACACAAACGTACTCATCTTGGAGATTGCCAGATGTGTTAGGGTTCTCCATTATGGGCGATTTAAGAGGCGTGATTGATGAAACTAAATTGTGAAGGCAAGACGTTGAAATGGAGTTGTTTGCAATCCAGATATCAAGTATTGTATGCCACTTATAAACCCTTTAACTCTTCACACACAGCCGTGTACCTACTTTTGACCCCCACATTAACAAACAGCCGTGTTACTACGGCTTCCCCGCATGAACAGATTGCTAGTGTTGGGGGCCGTGAGATTCGGCGAAAACAGGGTGTGCACGCTCCTCCTGCGCATAGCTATCTTCGCCTTTCTGTAAATCGCCGTTCTGTTGCCTAGCGCTTAGCCTTTTAACGGATTACTACTTGGCATTCTAGGACTAGTAGCTCACTACTCACTATACGCACGGGCTTTGGACTTACGCCAGGATATCGAAGGATCCGCTAGTAAGCTGATGAAACAGGATACGAAGGATGCTGTCAAAAGTGTACGCACATGCTAGAGTTACTTGGCACCATATATTAATAGACAGCTTTTGCGTACTATGTATGCACTTCGGCGTTACACGGTGATACCAAGGAATGCCACTAGTAAGCTTATGAAATAGTCTATAGAGGCAGCTTTTATCAATGCCTAGTGGAGTTACTTGTTGTCCTTGAAGTAGCAGCTAGCCTTTTATTTAATCATGGACATTTTTGAAGAAAAAAAGTGTGTAGAGGCCTCAACTGAAACTTTGTTCTAAAGAACAGTGCGCTGGAGTAGGATTTCAGGCATGTTGTAGGATGCTATTGCACTGCAGAGGGGGGCCTATAGTTTTCCAGTCTCGTTGGTTGCACAACAGCTCGCTTACCTAGAGCGCTCGCTTATCCAACAGGTTCGTGTAAATTATGCGTTTTCAATTTACAGGGATTTCGTAATTACCTCGGCGTAAGTAGAACAAGGAGCTGCTGCGCCCTTTGTCTCGCCCGCTAGTAGATGTCTTGGATTTCCTCAATTTTCTCTCTTCGGACCAAATCCGCCTAAAGCCACAGTAGTCGTCGAGTCTGTTTTTGTTTCAATCAAGGCATCATAATGGACACTAAATCTGTATCGAATTTACCTCATCCGGAAGTAGAAGTAACAGGCTTGGATTGGGACGACGTCAACAATGTTGACAATCCCCAAAACTGGCCAACATGGAAGAAAATACTTCACAGCGCAATTCCAGCTGTTTACGGCCTTGCACTGTATGTTTGAACGTACCATTTCCCAAGGAGCAAACTAATAGTCTCTTGTAGTACCATGGGGACTTCGACATACGTCGCAGGTGTGTTACTAGTCATGAAACAATTCGACATAAGTAGAACTGTTGCACTACTCCCTATTGTCGTTTACACCATTGGGTTTTCTCTAGGCCCACTCATCGCTGCCCCTATATCCGAGATTTATGGTCGCCTTATTGTATATCGAATGTGTCTTCCGATGCTGATGGTGTTCAACATCATCGCAGTTGCGTCTGATAATCTGACTGTCTTGATTGTATTTCGGTTCCTCGCAGGCTTTGGCGGCTCGGGCGTGCTCGCTGTGGGCGCGGGTACTGTTGCTGATATATGGAGTCAAAGACAGGCCGGCTTGGTCGCGTTGACGTACATCCTCGCTCCCTTTCTTGGACCTACTCTTGGGCCTCTTATTGGTGCATACATCATTGCCCAATATGACAACGACTGGAAATGGTCTATTTGGGTCATTCCCATCCTATGCGGACCAATAGCTGTCTCTCTATTATTTATGGAAGAGACCTCGAAGAGTAGGATTATCTATCTGAAGTCCAGCAAAACAGTAAAAGTTACCCAGGAAGCGCCCATTACACAGCGAATCGGTCTCGCCATGTTGCGCCCACTACACATGATCTTGCTAGAGGTATGTCAACCTAACTCCCATCAGCCTTTTAACAATCTAATATGAGCCAAACAGCCGCTCGCCTTCTTTCTTAGTCTTTATACAGGTTTCAACTTCGCAATGATCTTCTCGTTCTTCGGTTCTTATTCCTATGTATACAGCAGGGTCTATGGATTTAATTTGAAGGAAATTGGGTTAACATACATTGGACTCATTGTCGGATATCTTCTCGCTCTTGTGACGGTTGGATATTTTGATCGCAAAAAATACCAGCCAGAATCCCAGAAAACCAACGGAAGGGTTGCGCCAGAGCATCGCCTCTATGCAGCCATGTTTGGCAGCTTTCTTTTACCTGTTGGACTTTTTGTAAGTGCACATGGGCTTTGCCCATACACCCTGCATCTTAGTTGTGCCCACCACTAATACAAGTGTAAATATCTAGTGGTTTGCATGGACGCCACGTGAATCAGTCCATTGGATTGTTCCGGTGTTAGCTGGCGTACCTTTTGGCTGGGGAACACTAGCCGTCTTCCTCGCATCTGTGACCTACCTCATGGATACGTATCAGGCGACGAATGGGGCTTCAGCTATAGCCGCTAATGGATTTCTGCGGTTCATATTGGGGGCCATATTTCCTCTTTTCACAATCCAGATGTATGAAAATTTGGGTATTCATTGGGCAGGAAGCATCTTCGCGTTCATTAGTCTCGCACTAATTCCTGTGCCCTGGGTCTTCTTTTGGAAAGGAAAGGATCTTAGAAAAAGAAGCTCTTACGAAACATGTAGTTATTGAAGAGACGGATAGCATAGGAATCTTTTGTCGCGACACTTTGAGCCGAGGCCTAGAAAGCTAAATCACGGGGATTTATATGGCGCCCTTTAGGCTAGGGAAACCTCAATCATGCCCATAAGATATATAGTCCTCTCTTAACTCTTGGTAACTCCAAGTCGATTGATGAGTTGGAGGTAGTTATTGAAAAGATTTCCTTTCTCTCGGTTGATTTCATTATAACTCGCCAACATTGGTTAAATTTAAGTACTTGATGCCTCTATAATTCACTTTTTTAACAAAAACGTATGTACAAAGGGTGATCAAGAAAGCCAAAGGTGGCCCATGATGGAGAGGTGTTATTCTCATGTTCACGCAATGTATTTTATCATCATCATGTACAGTTTTATGTCTAGCACATGATACTGAATTCATTTAACGGCATTTATTTTCATTGCTAAGAATCTCAAGAAAGGTTGTGTGCTAGGATATGTTGGTGTACAAGCAGAAAGTCCTCATGTCTACAAACAGTAGCAAGTCCAGAGCTCCTCAAACAACCACTGTCCAATCATTCTTGTTCACAAATCTAAACCACCATAGACTATAGCTATCTAATGCATAAAGTCAGTAAAGGTGGCATAGGTTGAACGTAGTACTCACTCCACGGGTACATAGTATGGTTCCATCCGTTTTTGGTTACGTAGTAAGTATTGCAAGCCGAACCCCACACACCTCTACGACAGGCCGCTTGCACCTTATTTACATATTCGCTCTCCGCTTCAGCCGTCACCTCGACTTGATTTACCTTTCCCTGGATAAGAGGTTTGACAACATTCAAAATCAGCTCGACAGTAGCTTCGATGTACCAAATAACTGAGTTGTGGCTATAATAATCCGTTAGTTGATGTTTCAGGGACAAAACATCGAGTCAACATTACCCAGATGCCATATTTGGACCTCTAATAGTGAAAAAGTTAGGAAAGTCGTGCATTGCAATGCCTTTATAACAACTAGGGCCACCGGCAATGGCCCAATGCTTCTCAGGCGTAACCCCGTTGCGTCCTGTGAGTGGAAGTTTAAAGGTTTCCGACTCAAAGCCATGGGCAAGAAGTAGCATATCGCAAGCATACTCTTTTCCCGATCTTGTAACGACTGATTTCTCGCGAAGAAATGCAATTTCATCTTGTACTAAGTGTAATTTAGGATTTTTGAGACATCCCAGGTAGTCTGAAGCGAACACAAGTCGCTTGCATCCTGGCCGATACTGAAAAGATTAGCAACAAGAAAATATAAGCATTGAAACGAACGAACCGATGGTGTGAGGAGGTCATGATACTCTTCGGGTACTTCAAACTTTCTCAAATGCTTCTTGCTAATTTGCGGGATTTTAGTCCCAACAACATGAAAGAAGGCCTCTGTGATTGCAAAGAGTGTAGTACGAAGTACTGTGAATAGAAAAGGTACGTAGGTTAGCAGCTTCAACATTACCACTGGTAATGCTGGGTTTGGTCGATGTAGTATCCATTGCGGCGCCTTTAACACAGTCAGCAATCTGCCTATATGCTTTCTTAGTCACTTACTCGTTGTATCTGTGTACACCCCTTTACATCTTCCAGAATACTAGGAACTAACTGGACAGCAGTGCCTACCACGTATCAGTAATTGCCATTGACTTGGATAGATACTTAGTTTACTCCCGTTTCCTAAAACCACCACGCTTTTCCCCTTAATGTCGATGTCGCTAGTCCACAGACTTGAATGTACAATCTTCCCTTTGAAGATGTCCTTTCCTTGTACGTCGAGCTGTTTAGGATCGACTAGATGGCCTGTCGCGCTGATGAGTACCTTACACTCTTGAGTAAAGGTATCGCCGGTGGCGCAATCGCGCAAGACAACTCGCCAGCATCTTGTTTCTGGCATCCATACACTTTCTTCCCAGCTCATACCAAACTTCATATGGGGAACAACATTGTATCGATCAGCGACCTTTCCCATATAGTCGTGCAGCTCATTCCAAATGGGAAATGCACGTGTGAACTTTGGTTCTGGCGCGAATGAGATTTGATACGCCGCCCCAAATACGTCTGCGGACGCTCCCGGGTCTTTCTACGTCAGCATAGTTGGCTTTTATAATGCATTTGGTACGAGAACTCACATCGATTGTGATACCATGTCCCCCCCAGGCCAGCGTTCCTTTCGTACATGACAAAGTCGTTAAACTGGAGTTTGCGCTTCAACTGGCAGGCCATTACCAGGCCGCCAAATCCGCACCCAATGATAACAACCTGCCGAAAAGGCAGGGTAGAGGATGTTTTTTCCATTAGGGCAACCACGTTCCAGAATAGTATAGAATTTGGTTGATGTAGCGCAACAACTTCAATGACTTAAAACGCGCAACATGAATGGAGACCATTACAGAGTTTTAGAAATCATCCTCCAATGTTAATGCAAGTCCTTGTTATTTACTGTACTCTATCAGATGAGTGTGGTTGGTAAGAAAACTGGGGCAACTGATAGGATGGGCTGAAGCTAACAACATAAGCTGCAGCTCGGCGTTTCCGAGAAGGATTTTTGCAACAGGGCGTTTCCTAGAAGGATTGTTGCAACAGGGCGTTTGCAAAAAGAATTGTTGCAGCAGGCCAATCCAACAAAGGATTGATGCGCCAAGTATTGATTGAGGCCAGCTGCGCTGCATATCCTAACTCAGAGAGAAAATGATTAGCCAAATGTAGATTAATGACCGAGCGGTCTCGTTAGAAGCTCGGTACGAGCCTTCGGCAAACGAAAACCCAAGTTTCAGGCACTCAACTATGAGATATGAGGTATCTCTAGTACCTCGGTATTTTCGTATACCTCGCATTAATTGCAAGAAGTAGCTAGTAAAAACGGACCGAATTGTTTATGGGAAATAGTGGAGATGAGTTACGGGGTGACCGAGTTAGCGGGGTAGCGCCTTATGCATGAACGCGTGGATGGTCATCCCGTCTTTTAGGCTTACTAGCGTAACCGTTAGTACATATCTCTATAACACCGAAGTCGGTACTTGGATTCAACTATCAATTCCAAGCCGGGCAGTTTGTCAAATCAAACACCGAAAGTGCGGGGTACCTGGAGCCATTGGATCACGAATCAGCACTACAAGATTACATACCATGAGATTATTTAATTACCTAGTGAGCAGGGGCTGGAATTGGCAGGCTTAGCTGAAACGACGCCAGCAAATAGGTACTCATGTTGCCAAATTCCGTACTATTCCTCAAAGTAATCGCACTCTACCTAGCGAATATATTGCATTGTCAAATCACTCCATAGCTAGTGAAGATTTTAAAATTAATATTATTACGTATTATCTAGGTTAAAGCATTAATCTAAACCAATCTGTAATACATGAGTAACGTTTTTAAAAGTAGAATATGTTCCTCATAAAAGCTAAGAATTCAAAGATAGGGTTATTTAACAAAATTTAAGTAAAAATGCACTTTTATATGCTATCAAGCAGAGATACTTCTAAGAATAGATTAAATTACTAGGCTGAGAATAGACGCAGCTTACGTATTATGCAATAGAATATGTATATATATAGGTATCTAGTAGCAGCATGTTCTTCCAAGAGATAGCACTTCTAACACTCCATCGATACAACATCCTTGTCGTATTCACACTTAGCAGGAAATGGCGATATTCTCGTCTCCATTACTCCTCGGAGCAATAGTTGTTACTGCTCTTATTGCTCTTAGATCTTATCGAGTTAATGCTGATGCAAGACGAAGATATGCTCTTCTTGGTGCAGGACCACCTGAGCGTGTGCCCACTAATACATTTGGTCGGGATTCTGACACATACGATCCAAGAGATAACTAACTTGGAGTAGGTCTAGGCATTGCTGTTAAAATCTTGCGCGCTCTAAGGAAACATGAGTTTTGGCATTGGACGAAAGATGTTTTGGATACCCACAATCATACCGTCGACGTGCAGATGTTTGGGAACAGCATGTACTTGACCGACGATCCTGAGAACATCAAGTATATCCAAGATACTGAGGTGCGCACTCGCAAGCAAAATTCCAGCTCATAGGCTTACAGGTTGTTAGTTTACTCGTTTTGCGAAGTCGAAAGCTCAGCATGAAATCTTTAAACACATTCTTGGCGACGCAGTATTCTCAAGTATGACACAGCAAACCTAGACAGCTATGAATGCTAATCGCTTTTAAGTGGATGGTGAGGAGTGGAAGCAAGAAATCAGTTTTCTTAAAACACACGTGAGTCGCGCGATGCTTCTCCCGATCAATTCTCACAGTTGCAGATGAGTCGAATTCGAGATACCGACTTCGAAATCACCGAGAAACATCTGAAGCATGTAATCGATCTTCTTGCCACCCCTGGAACTGACGCATTCGACGCTATTGATCGATGGCAATTGGACGTCGTGACGCATGTTTTTTGCGGCCAGTCGACGGATTCATTAACTTCTAATCAGCAGCCTTTTCGCGATGCGATGGATGTCCTACTCGGAATCAATAGCTTTAGGCAAATTATGGGGTTCGTACAGGGTTTTTCTGTGTTTTATCTTCGATGCTGAACTTCTATCTAGCCCTGTTGGTGTCTATCTTCGAGATGACTGGCTTGCGCCGCGAGCCACACGTGAAATCGATCGATACCTGGACCAATTCGTCGACAAAGCCAGCGCTAGGAAATACAGTGGTGACCAGCCTTGCCTAATTGACGACCTCATTCGAAAGGGAAAAGGTCGTGGTAATATCAAGAATGCAGTTATATCGACGCTGCTTGCCGGCAAAGATCCTTCAACCACAACACTTGCATGGGCTTACTACGAGATTGCAAGACATCCTCATGTATTTGCGAAAATGAAGGCCGAAGTCAAGGAACAGTAAGAAACCAAGATACTTCAAGTCCGTTATACGCCGGCCTCGTTAACATTCTGCAGTGTTGGGGATCGTCTGCCAACTTTAAGCGACCTGCATAAATTGAAGTACATACGAAATGTGATCAAGGAAACACTACGCGTTCACCATCCTTGTATGTTGAAAATTCCAGATTCTCTTAAGATGCTAATTAGTTAGTGGGAATAAATGCTCGTGTGCCTGTTGAAGACATGACTTTGCCACGGGGTGGAGGCCCCGATGGTAAATCACCGGTGGCTATCTTGAAAGGAACACAGATCGGTCAGTACATCTGTGGCTCAGCAAGCTGTTTCTAACATGTTCTTAGTATACGGTCTCTTATCATTGCAACATCGTGCGGATCTCGGAGTCAAGGATGTTAGTCAATGGATACCTGAAAGATGGGGTATGTTTATCCTTATCTTCCCCTCAATCCGACAACAAGTAGAGACTTCTTTTTGCTAATTTGGAATAGAGTCATGGAAGCCCAGTAGCCAATGGGAATACATTCCATTTAACCACGGTCCTAGAATCTGTCCAGGACAACAATTTGCAAACTTTCAGATGGAGTATTTCTTCACTCGACTATGTCAAGAGTTTGAGACCATCACACTTACACCCAAATCTAAGCCTCAGGAAGGCAAGGTCAGGATTGAGTTGAATACGAAGCTGGCCTACCCAATCTTTGCGGATGCAAAAAGGCGGACAAAGTCCTAAATGAGTGCGAGTGCACGTATTACACCCAATACTGTGTTCTCAGATAGCTCCCCAATGGTTTTTATCTCATTAAAATTGATGGCTTCGTGTACATGATACCTCAGTGCCTTCCCCGTACGAGAGTTGAGGCTCACGTAAGCCTGGTTTGTGCATTTAAGCCTCGGCACATGTATTAGCTACATATTATTTGTAGAGGTCCAAGAACCTCGTGGATCAGATACCATCAGGATCAATAGGACCGAATGTCGGCTCAATTCTTCCTCTAGGTAACCACGCATCTTGTGTTACTTGGTTAGCCGTATGCGCCTTACGTCACCAGACTGCGGCAAAAAGTGGGATCAATTCCGTTGACTAGCTTCCCTCGTGGGGAGCTATAATGCACGGGCCTTGTGGTCATGTTTTAAATTAACTCAATTCAGCCGTATTATTGGTACAGAAACTAACCGACGTAATAACGTGGCAGAGGTCTTTGTGTGAGAATACTTAAACCTTCAGCTCAATCCCATGTTTTGCACAAGATCGTACACTATTGATCTTTTGAAACAATCATAGAAATGGATTCTATGATGCAGCACACCTCCCGCCCATACGGACTCGATTTTGTGCAGCTCTCACCTAGTGTTTTCTACCGAGAACCGCCAAAACACGCCAGACCAACTTGGAGAGCAATTTCAAGAGACCCTCATCTCATTGTCATTGCCACATGGCTCAATGCCTCCCCGACACAGGTTCAGGCCTATCTATCTGGCTACAAATCTATCTTCCCAACCTCTGGCCTACTGCTCATCGCGACAACTACGAAGCATTTCCTTTTCCAACCAACTGCCCAACGCCTACGCGAACTCGAGCCTGCGGTGAGAATTTTTCAAAACACGAAGGCCGATGAAAAGGTTTTACTCCATGTTTTCTCCAGCGGCGGTACTTGCACCATCTACCAACTTGCATCTGCGTACAATGACCACACATCTTGCCCTCTACCAGTATCTAAGATTGTTTTTGACAGCTGCCCGGGTGTCTCGTCGTACAGATCCACAGTTGCGGCCTTTTCCACTTCTCTTCCACAGAATCCGGTCTTATGGACCATCGGAAACGTGTTTTATCGCATCGTTTTTGGTATCGGGTTAGTTGCAGAGAAATTAACCAAATGGAAGAACATTGTCGGATGGGCTTACGAAGGACTGAACAAGAAAGCACTATTTCCTGATTCGGCTGCCCGACTTTACCTGTACAGTTTGGCAGATGAGCTAGTTCCTTGGAAGCACATAGAACATCACGCTGACGAAGCACGTAATATGTGTCAGAAAGTTTGGAGAGTGAGATATACGAGCACGGCTCATGTCTACCACATGTTCCAAGATCGAAGGAAGTATTGGGATGCTGTGATGGGTATATGGGATTCAGACTATTTGTCTGGCCCAGGCAAGATTCGTGTGGCGTTTTAGTGAGCTTTATACCTAGCGTCCTGGTAGAGTCAACGAATTCTGGAAGCGGTATGATTCTTTTCCATATGAACCTCATAGATAGCTTTGCAAAAACATCAATCTTAATCTTCAGCAAGAAGATCGCATGCCCGCTTTACCATGTCGGTAGTCTCTTGGACCTGGAATAGTTTAGCCAAGATTCTCATATACGATGCATTCAAACATACAGATGTCTCCTCGAATAGCCCGAAGTGATGTACTGGAGTTTCCCATATAGCGGCAATAAATTGATGAGGGAAGAAGTTCCATCCATTCTTTTGGTCCTTGTACTGATCCACCATGCACCTCACACCCGCTGAGGTTTCTTCGACGATCAACTTGTTCGCGTGAATCAAGACGGCAGGAGCAGGCTCTTCACTTTCGACCTCACCGAGTTGGTCAATGTCGCCTTTCCAGTTTCTGAGAACCCATTCATCGCAGTCTTCCTTTGACCAATCCATGCAGCGGAGCATACTCTCCTTCAGATCAGATGGAATATTCTTGAGCACGAGATCGATCGAGACGTCCGCATGGACAGTTTCTGGAGGACCCCAGTACGGGTACATCGTATCTATCAGTACAATGCCCTTCACACTCAATTTCGAGCGTCGATTACGAGCTAATACACGTCCAATGTCGATACCCAATTGGCCACCGAGGGACCAACCTTGATTCATGAGCTGATGCGACACTGCTAGAGGTTGTGGGAATGTATACCTCCAACTAAGATCTCTCCCGATGGAACCACAGATTTAATGAGTTTGATGTATTCCTCCACCAAACCCAATATTCCTCCCTTCCATTTTGTTTGCGAATAAAAGGATGGGTTGTGAATGGCGTAGACAGTGCGGCCGATGTTTCTCAGCCTATAACAATAGGAAACTGTTCCACCAGAGTCATGTAAAAGAAAGAGCGGTGCACGGGATGCGTCTCCCTTTTGGATAAGTGCAGGATTAGCACGAACTTCTACAGAAGAAGACATGCTCAGGGAGGATGTAGATGTAGGCAGGTATTATTCCGAGTACGAAAATTTAAGTAAAGTTTGAAAACGGTTGTTAATTACGAATTTAAAGCAGAGGACGCCGGGGGCTGAGATGCAAGTGATACGTATCCCAGTTCTCGGTAAACAGCCTCGATACTTTATCCGTACTAAGCTGCATAAGCATGTCCAGAACACCCCGGGTTATCGAAGTCTCTTGCTGCCTTGCTCACTGGCAAGCAGAACATTACCTGCCGGAACGGGCCGTGCAGCAGAATCATGGTCACGAGGTGACGAGATAACGGACGCGGGGTTGGTCGCCTAAAAATTAGGGTTCCCACTCCATCCGATTACTAGTATTAGTATGCGCTTGCGCTTTCTCCACATGTGTAAGGAATCGTGTAAGCGAAACCCTGTAACCGGCTTAATTTACGGCATTAATGCGGTGTGGGCACGGCGATAGATAGTGATATACGCGCTCTAAAGTATGCTAGGAAACTACTCAAGAAAGAAGAGTCGTGGGCATGACTGTTTTCCCCTCATGCCAAGCGATGGGCATGCCGATGGCCACGTACTAACGATTTTGGCGGACGTACTGTGGGTACTTGTATTGGGCTAACTTCGGCCTTATACCACCGTCCGCCTTATTCGCAACACCTACCGTGATAGGAAGAAGTGCAGGCGCAGGTTACTGAAACATCTATCATGTTTTACATTAACAGTATTAATAGGTTACATTCTTAACATACGGAAAGAAAACAATGGTAAATGAAATGCTTGAGTTAGAGTTTGCAGTTTGGTTTAGACTTAACATACATTATACATACCTATATGCGCTCTTTCATTGTTTACTACTTTGCCAACATTAAAAGAACGCACCAAAAGCGAGTCGTTTTAAGCGTTACACAATGATACGATCAACCATCGCATTCCTTGAGATGCTTTGGATAGACCCAACGCAAGAGAAAATTTCACTTATTCTCATTACCGTTGGCTGTCTATTATTTGGAAGACTGCTATGGGCTGTTTACCTGTATCCATTCTACTCTAGCCCTTACCTTATCCTCCCACAAGCCAAGGTACGTGTATATTTTAAGAGGAAAAATTAGAATAAGAATAGTTCGTATGTTTCGGACGATAAATGAGTGTTTTTGGTCTAACGATCGAACAGCAGCGCAAATCATGGATAGGCATCATACTGGAGCCGCTCCAGAATGGCAGCAGAGTCCTCGAATATCTTGACAACACGCTCAATCAAGGCATTTTCCGCGCTCTCGACCTTCTCAATAGAGAAGTTCTGGTGATCACGAGCCCGGAATTCATTAAAGAAATTTTGCAGACCAACGCATATGACTTTTGCAAGATGGCGAATGTGCAGAATTTCATGAAGGTCCTGCTCGGCGATGGCCTGCTCACTGTGGACGGCGAAGACCACAAGGTTAGTCATTATACCATCGTTAACCTAGAGACATGAAAGCGTTATGCGTTGATGTAAAGATGCAACTGATGCTGCTCGTAGCAACAACGGAAAGCGCTAAATCCAGCATTTTCCGCCAAGCATGTTCAACAACTGCATTCTGTCTTTTACTCCAAGACACGCGAGATGGTATCCTATATCAAAGAAGAAATAAATACCTCGCAAGACCAGCAGGGAATTGCTGTTGACATAACTGCGTGGGTTAACAGAGCCGCTTTAGACATCATCGGTATTGCGGCACTCGGCATCGATTTCAATTCCCTAGCAGACCCGACCAATGAACTGAGCCGTGCTTACCAAGTCATCTTCGAGCCTGACAATACCTCCAACATCATATTCTTGCTTTCAATCTTTTTCACGACGTGGGCAGTCAAGCTCCTGCCGCTAAAGAAAGCGCGTGAGATTCGAGCAGGCTCTGCGTTTGTGAAGAGATATATTGAAGAAGTAGTGACCCGAAAAACCCGGGAACACGACGATGAAAAAACCTCTCACAAAGACATTCTTTCGGTGGCCGCTCAGTATGGCAAGTTATCAACGAATGAGATCGTCAACCAAGCGCGAACCTTTCTGGTGGCAGGGCATGAAACCACAGCGACGGCAATGCAATGGGCGCTTTACACGCTAACCAGACCAGAGAACCTTCATATCCAGCAACGCCTACGAGACGAGATCCACAAACAGCTGCCTCCTCTGGACTCGGTACAAGAAATCTCAGCGTACACACTTGGTAAGAATTTGCCATACCTTGACGCTGTCAGCAAAGAGTGTCTGAGGGTCTATGGGCCTTCTCCGTTCTCTAGGCGAACGGCTGTAAGAGACACGGTACTCTGCGGCATTTCCATCAAGAAAGGCACAAACTTTCTGATCCCGAACTGGGCAATCAACAAGTCGAAGAAGCTTTGGGGAGAGCGTGCAAGGGAGTTTGACCCAGAAAGATGGCTTCATGGCAACGAAGCTCACAATGGAGGCGCTGATGCTCTGGCCTTCCAGACATTTTCATCCGGTACCAGAGGTTGCATTGGAAAGAGTAAGATTTCCGTTTTTGCTCCAAAGTATGATCGACATGAAACTGACGAGAAACACGTCTAGGCTTCGCGTTAGCAGAGTTTAAGATAATGTTGGCTGGCCTTGTGGGCACCTTTGAGATAACTAAAGCAGCAGACGAGAAAGAGGTGGAAACGGAATGGGCAATCATTGCTCGGATATATAATGGGTTCAAAGTCAATATGAAGCCAGTAACAAATTGGTAATCTAAGTACTCAGATAGCCTCCTAAGATAGAGATGCTGTACAAAATGTAGCTAAACTACTATTCTTCCAAGTCTAAACTCCCAACTCACCAATCATGCTAGTGCTGGGTCTTCTGTTAAGCCTTATTTAGTGCGGAATTGAAAGGCTCGATGACTCAGAATATCTCATTTGCGCGGAGTGGGCTTTGGCCACGCCATGACTTCCGATCACTTCTGTTGTGGCCACGTTGATTCCATCTGCTGTAATTCAAAATGGCAAAATAGTCCCCCAGCAACCGTTTTCAGAATGCGGAAGCCAGTAACATCTAGTTAACCTAAAATCAAGAGCATTTAAGTAGCATCACTCAGTCCGCTCCGGACACGAAAGACTGCGCCCCAGTTTCTACCAACACTACTAGGCAAAGCACTATTGGCGAACAATAAGAATTTGTAAACTCACTGGAAACCACACCGATTCAGCTCCGACCTATGGCTTGGATTTTTTCAATGCTTTGATCAAATCAAGGATGACTCCATATACTACTTTCAAGTAATGATTGTGACTTGAATTTGCTTTCAAGATTTAGAAGATCAACGCTGCCAACTTACATCTGAATAATGCGTTAAAAGAGATAGAGTGTGCAAGTAGGAGCAAGAAGAAGGGAGGAGGGGTAAAAAGAGAACATGTGAGATTCAAAGCTAACGTCGAACCCTCTATCCAGTATTCCTGTCGAGAATTATTGCATCATCCAGGATAAAGATCGCCGAATGACTAAATAATTTGTGACTATGTACATATGCAATTATAGAGGAGTCGATCTAGTTGAGAATATATATGCACAACGCCCGGTCATACATTGCTTACACTAGTCTTAACCGTTCAGCTGCAGTGTCGTAACCAATATTATTACTACCACAGTCAAGAAGATATACTTGGCCGTGTTTGATGACTTTCGCGACCACAGATCTTACGATACCATCGTCAACACGAGCATGCGATGCAATGCTGACAAGGCGGAGGGTAACTTCAGTAGTTTTCTGTATCGCATGAGATGAAATGAACAACAGGCTGAAGGACTTACTTAGCATAACGTCCATATCAGGGCGCAATTCTAAATACATTTCTGGCAGTGTTTATAACGAAATTTCAAAATCGAACCAGCAAACCAACCAAAGCCGCTCGAGTCAAGATCCATGACTGGGACCCAAAAGTCAACCTTCAGCATGCAACAAAGAATAAACAGGTTTGCTCGTCTCACTCGTTGCACGAAAGTCGTCTTGAGCCTCTTGTTGATATACACTCAGCCACCATAATGGACCACATATCGATCAAAGTCAAAAAAAAGCATGTCTACGATGATGTCCAGTATTCTACGGCCGGCTCTTAAAATGAGCAAAGAAGACTTTTGGATGGAAATAATTCACTGGATCCATCACCACGCTCACCATGCAGAAGCCCAACACCAATGTCAGGGAAGCTCCCCACCCCCCCTCATCCCGTCTCCCAGGTCTAGCGCATTGTCAGTAGCCAGGTCGCTTCTCTTAGATGGACCATAATTCCACGCACATCAAGAAAAGCAGCGCATAGAATCGAGTCTGATTGGCGCTATATCATCCCAAATCCAGGGACATACGGTAGAGTTGGGATATTGACTCTAAACCTGATCCCGTGAGGCTAGATGCCCAAACATTGTTCCCGATTACTTCGAACATCAGTCACGATTGGAGGACCAGGATCTAGAAGAAGTTTATGGCAGTAACAGGTAAGCAGGGTGGGTTCGAAGGACATGAATCAGATTCTGACTATAGATGGCAACGTTTCATCATCGACTGCATGTGTGCATGATGATGATGTCTCCACGTGATTTTGCATGAGAAAAAAAAAGACTCGAAAACCGAGAGTATATACAAATTTTGGTGCGTGGTATGTCTCCGAGGGAACCATGATGAGGTAAAACACGAACACTAGTAGCAAAGAAACGGAAATTTATATACAAAAGAAGGGGGAGTTTTAACAGCCCGGGATGGCAGTTGTGATGCTTAATGTTGGGAATCAAGCCGTCTACTGGCCTTTCCAAGTACCAACAACGCAAGAGGATACAATAAGGGTATCCGTCCATTGACCGTTGCTCTCAGTGGGAGTCTCATCGAGCTCGTAGGTGCTATCGAAGCCACCAGCCGCCCAGGAGGTGTATCCGAGGTAAACATCAGAGTTAGCGCTACATGAAGTTAGCAAAAGAAGTCGTTTTTTTCTCTTTCAGATCGTCATAGGGTAGGCTTACTTTAAGAACTTGAGCTCTGAGCACAGGTACTGCTGGCAAGAAGCCGTGTTGCCGCCACCAGTCTCGGAAAGGAAAGCCTGGCGGTTGTTTTGCCTGAGCCAAGTGGCGAGAGGCTGGAAAGCAGTGGCGACGTTGTCTGTGACGCATTCGGTGTGGGTGCCGGAGCCGTCGCTGTCGAGGTACTTGTGGACGTCCATGATGAGGTTGGTGATGGAGCCATCGGGGTTCTTGACTGCGCTGAGTGCGGCGGCAGAGCCGGAAGAGACAAATGTCTCTGCGCTGGTGTAATTCTGGCCGGGGAGAAGGATCAAGTTGTTCGTGGCGCCTGCTTGACGGATTGCGGTCACAGAAGCCTGAACGGTGGTGGCCCAGCGCACAATGTCGGGAATGTCCTGGGAATCGTTGTCAGCTTGAGGTATATTGCGGGAGACGGGCTGAGACTTACATGAGGTTCGTTCATAATGGCAAAAGCAATCTGGGAGTGACTGCCGTACTTGGTGGCAAGTTGCGCCCACACGTTTGCCAACTGCGCGTCGGTTGGACCGCCCTGGCCAATGATTTGGCCGTTCCATCTGGCGTAATTGTGGATGTCGAGGATGCACAATTGGGCACCGGAGTTCAAACAACCCTGTACAAGGCTATCATATTGGCCGGCGTTGTTTGCGTCCAGCTGACCACCAAGGTTGTTGTTCAGCAAGTACTGCCACCCAACAGGCAAGCGGAATGCGTTGAGGGTATCGTCCTTGACAAAGTGGTTCATCTGACCAAGACCGGTACCGCCGCTAATGAAGTTGTATGGCTTGTTGGTTCCCGTTAAAGCACAGCTGCCGTCGGTGGTGCAGCCAAAATCGAATCCGGACATGTTTATACCTGCGTACTTGACCCTGGAAGCTCTCGGTGTAACCTTAGCAGGGGCAGCAGCCACGAATGCTGTTCCGGCGAGGGCGGTGATCAATGTAGCCTTCATGATTGTGTGGTTGAGGATGTTTGGTCGACTGTGAGGAGTGTGAAACGCGTGTAAGCGTGAAGATGGCTTGATGGTTCAGGACAACTGCGAGCTTTTTATACGCGCATATAGCTATGAGGTTGTTTCTATCATGTGTCGCTTCTGATCCGTCTAAGCAAAACACCGGTATATTGACTTCTAGCCATGCCTGGCAATTTACAGGCCGAATGTGGATACCAAAACATTGTCAGGCACTACCGGGCCAAAATCCTGTCTTGTTTCATTGGCCCGGGCCCTGGTGGAGGCCACGATGGGGTGACAGATTATGCAACGATATGCAAAGGCGGGCCTGCGAAGACTTTGCTTGGGAAAGCTTGGTCAGGCTTCGAGAAGCTTGGAGTCAGTAAAATTGACTATATCAACTTCAAACGTGCATTAGTCGCCATCTAGTAGGAATCTTCCAAAGCATAGACAGGGGTGAAAGCCGAGATGACGCGGCTGACACGTTGAAACTGCCACTAGCGGCGCTTTATTGGGAAAATCCGGGGTCATACTTCACAGTGGTAATCACGCGCCAAAAGTCCTACTACTCGCACATGTGAGATTACGAGGAACGATGCGTAAATTTTGGCCTCTGAAAAAGGTCGTGCGTATTTGCCTGGGGGTGGTTGTGCGATGAGGATATCCGACAAAGATACAAAGTCAATTGACATGATTGATCAGTTGCAGCCATTCACGACTGACTCAGTAGCCTTGACTTAAAGGTGCGACAAAGCATTATGGTTTCACGCTTGGCTAAACTGCCGGGCCGTCGATCCACTACCACTGACACAGAAGCCCATCGGTTTGCATGAATCATGCAGTCTCTACCGGGTTTCGATCAAATTGCGGAGTACACGGATCGTTGTAGCGTCGGCTGCTAGCCATTGTTTGCTCAAGGGCTTGGGGAGATTGGCTGGGAGGTAAGTATCCGCACCCAATTCAGAATTTGTGGGGAAAGAGACAAGGTACTACGTTTGACAGTAGTAGGAGGAATAAGGTCCGCAATTCCGGCCGGCACTTTCTCGTAGCTACATTTTGCGCAAACAAATCCAATAGTTGAAGGTTACGCTATTCCCCCAAGATATGCGCAAACAAATCCAATAGTTGAGGTTTACGCTATTCCCACAAGATATGCGCAAGCTTACAATCCGTGCTTATTTTGGAAGCTTGCATTGAGCAAAAGTACTCATGTGAGGTATCTGAACAATGCTGCCTACTCCCTTCGGCCTCCTGCATCTGACGAAAGGCCCGCAAAGTTCTTTTCGGTGCACAAGCCTTTTTAAGCATCGGTTCTTTTCTCTCCTAAAGAGGCGACCGGGAACTTCCTATTCCACGTGATGTATCCGGTCCTTGGCGTCATTCTTGGCTTCTGCTTCTGGCTGCCTCTCTGGGAAAACTACACTTCATTCTCTGATCTATGCTATAAAGACCTACGCTGCTTCGAAATTTGAGCTGTTCCAGCCATACACCCGTTTCAGTCGTCGAGAGAAGACCAAAAGCAGCCGTCCCTCGATGATTCCCTGGTGTGGCCGATGCAATGTTATACCTCGGCGCAATACTGTCTTATCCGAGGGGACAAACATGTATATAGAGCCGAGCTTGGGTTCGCATGAGAAGTCCACGTCATTCATGGCAGCTACGAAGGCTTCCCATCGAACTGGGCTACGAGCCGTAGAGGATCTCGAGAACAACGATGAAAAGACGTTCGCAGTGGAAGGCTTGACCTTGTATCTTTCTTTCGATTCAACGGCCGACTCGTCTTTGGCGTTTTGTGGTGTGAACTCGTATATTGAAGCTTGACTCGGCCGCGTCTTTTCCTTCTGCTTGCGCTGCTGAATAGGTGATTCTGAGTTCTCGGGAGCTGCTGGCGTCGTGTGTTGAGTCGGGACTCTATCAGACTTGGTCTTCTGTGCTTCATGTTGTTCATGGATGTTGGACACACAACTTTCAACTAGATCTTCGTAGAGAAAACCAAGCTTCGTGCCGGTCTTCTCTACAATATACTCATCGAGTCTTATAAGCGCACGTTCGGCCATACCTGGCTCAAGCAAGTTGTCAATTGGGATGGCCAAGTCACCGAGATCCACACCATCCTTCATCTCTCTAAACTCTTTGTCTAAAGCCGTGTAGTTAGATACAAATGGTTGTTTCTTTTTGTGGTTAGGCGTAGGTAATTGTGCGACTGAGGAGAGAGACTGAACAAAGGTGACTATGATTGCAAGGTCGCCTAGCGAATCGTACTCTCGCTCGGAAAGGTTGTCTTGCTCGAGCGGATGGGCTCGGTGGAGGTCCGCCAGCTTTTGAAGCCATTGTGCAGCGTTCGACCAGTTTGTCTCATCCTGACAAAGTCGGAGCATGTAATGTAGTTGGGGGTTCTCTACCGTCAAAGACTCGGGATTTCGTTTCAATGAGAGCCGCGCAATGTCATTTGTCGACGTGCGCTTGAACCACTTGCTGCTACCCATGCCGACAGCTACGCTGCGTTTGAAACTAGCCTGAGCGCGCAAATACTCCAAGTGGCAGGTGTTTGAGAGCTCTCTAAGAATAACAGCTTTGAACTGCTTGTCTGTTGACTCCTTCAGCAGATCCAAGAGACGTCCAATGTAATGCCATGTAGCAGCAATCTTCACTACGCTATGGACCGCCTCGAGCACAGCACCGCTAATGTATTTGTCGGTATGCACAGGCAACATGCGTCCCTTCTCATCGGCAACTAGTTCCGGCCGGCTGAAGAAAGAAAAATTGACTTCATGAGTTAGAACCGTAGGCTCAGTCGCAATAAGAGCAACCAGATCCTCGTAAGACGATAGTTGGTCTTTCGCCATGTCTGCAAGATCCACAAGCTCTACTTTCTTTGGAGGTGAGTGTACTGACAACTTTGCTAGCGCTGCAGTTGTATCCTCATTTGACTTCTTTGCGTGCTTCGTCCGGGCTTGCGTGGTGGATGCAGTATTGAGGATGTCTTCGATTGCAATGTTGAGAAGTTGGAGCAGATTTATTTGTCGCATGAGAATGAGCTCTCCAGTAGCTTGAGGTACGATAAATCCGGCCTGCATAGCCGGTTTCATGTTCGCAAGAACTTCTTCCTTCTCGGCATGGATCTTGACAGATTCACCGTACCCGTCTTCCGTCAAGAAAAGCGTATAACAATCCTTGTATTGGGAGACGTCATTGAGACTCAGGTTCTTTCTCTGCATCATATCAAGTATGTGCGCATGATCTCCTGGTCGCCCATTGAAGCCAGTCGTGTATTGTGCCTGCAGCGGTGTGGTTGCTCGGTGCTTAAGCATGTCGAGAAAGAAGCTTGATGACGGCGACGTGATGTCGCGTAGATTCCATTCAGGAATAAACTTGTAGACATTCTCCAGGCTTGTGTCTTCAGCATGCTTCAGAACAGCACCATCATGAGAGCCAGCTTCCATGATCTTTTTGCGTTGTTCCTGGCTGAGCGAACGCCACATTTCCTCGACACGCTGGCCATGCTGTCGGTATTTCCTGGCAAGATCTTTATGAAGTTCTTTGACGGATTCGTTCATTGCGTATCTGCAAAAAAATCTAGTGATAAGAGAAGTAGTTGCTTGAACTCTTAATGTGTTTGGTTTTGATGCGGGGATAACAGTATTATGGTGCTATGCTATGCCACATCTGGATTAGGGTGAGTTTTCGGAAGCGATCGGGGTTTTTGGGACGTTCCGATGGGAATCTGACCGTCAATGTCCGCCGTCAAAAAAGCCTGATCAATTAACACTCTCAGGAAGGTATCACTGAAGGGATGCCTACTGCTTACCGGGGAAGCTTTAAATCTATATTCAGTAAGGAAATGAAATGCAGTGTGGCTCAACAATTACTACACCATGATCGGTGACGGCCCAGAGGTGACTGAACTTCTGCAGTCAGATCAACCTTTACTCTTGTTAAGTAGACGCTACCCAGAAAACTGGGACATTAGAGGGAGCCATTAGCAAGCAAAGGCTGTCGCTATATCAAGTCCAACCCATTTGACTTGGGGCATTCCAAAGCATCTCAATTTTACCATCTTATGGAATGTCTCAAACATCCAAAGGTCTAAGCATAATCATATGTTACAAAACTTAATTTATGTACCTGAAAGTGACGCCAGCTAAGAGGCACAAGCACTGATACAACGAACATACTTTTGTGCAAAATCGACATCTACCAAGGGCGCAGGGAAGTGAGTAGAACCTAGAACATTGTCCTTCAAGGGCGGCCCAGTAACCATAGCAGTTGCACCTTTGTCGTCAATAACACCATCAATCAGGGCTGTGATGCGGGCAATCAGACTAGACCTGTGGGCCAATGCGTAGTCGAGAGCTCTTTCTCTCCATGCCAGAAAAGGCACAATTTCCTGGCCAGTGCTTGCATCACTCATGAGCTGGAAGAAGTGGCTAAAAGTGGGTGCATGCGCGTTGGCAAAGTCGTAGTTTTGGCCGATGAGGTGCAGGTCCTTGGTCATCATGGTAACGATGGTTTTGGACAGGTAGTCAACAGGTAGCACTGCAGAGAGGGTGGCGTCGATGGATGGGAAGAGACCCATTTCTACACAGCCGGCGATGAAATGGTGCAAAAAGTCACCGCGGTCGAGGCGGAAGCGGCCACTGGTAGATGATGCTGTGACAAAAGGTAGGCGATAGACGGATACTTTGGCACCACGCCACTGTGCTGCAGCCATCATGCGCTCAGCCGCATATTTTGACGTAGCATATCCATATTCTTGATCTCCTTCTTTGACGTCGTACCCCATATACTTGGGTATCGTGGACATGGTGGAAATAAGATGGACCGCTTTAGTCTTTCCCTGCGAGGCCAAGCGCAGAACTTCATGTGCGCTCACCATGTTGGGGCCGATGTAATCTTGAAGGGGGCGCATCCAGTCTACAAGTGCGCCTGAGTGACAGATGGCATCCACATGATCGGCAAGGAAATCAAAGCTGTGTTCGGGCAAGCCAAAAAGAGGTTGGGACATGTCTCCTACAATAGGATGGAGTAATGGTGTGTACTCAGGGCTCCAAAGGCTGTAGCTGGCGAGGGTTGCCACCAAACGCTCCATAGCTTCATCATAGGTCTCGGCGCGTACTAAACAGTATACAGTGATACCAAGCTCCAACAGATCATGTGTGATGTGAGCACCAACAAAACCCGTGGCACCCGTGACAAAGACAGAAGAAGGAGACGTGAGGGCTTCGACTGCATTCTCAAAGTTAAAACTGGGATCGACACAACCTCTCTTGATAGCTTCAAGGTCAAGCAACGGGACCATGTCGGACATGAGCGTGGTAGTTGCCGTGCTACTCCCCAGCGAGGAGTCAGATTCGCTGTCATCCAAATTCAGCTCTGAAAGTAAGGTCTGGCCAAGGGCTTTGAGGTTCGGGTGCTGGAATGTGATGTTGGCCGTTAATGACATGCCTGTCAGGTTAGCGACTTGATTGCGTATCAAAACCGCAGTGAGTGAGTCGATGCCAATGTCCTGTAGAGGTTTATCGACATGAACATCACTCGGTTTTGTGAAGCCTAATGCTTTGGCTACGGTATCTTGAAGCATAGTCAACATGAGATGAGGTCGCTGCTCAAGGTTTGCATGAAGTAGCTCTTTACGCAGATGGTAGCCTGGATGCAACTGTTGCTCAACCGCGTTGCCCCCACTAAGGAGGGAATGCAGAAACGGAGGATTGTCGCCTCGTTCCCGGTGATAGTTCTTCATACGAGGCTGGTCCAAGGCAGCGGCGACGGTGAGGGTACGACGACTACGCACAGCATGCTCAAGTAGCGCCAAACCGTCTTCCGGGGCAAGCATGTCAAGGCCCGATTGAGCAAGACGTGCTCGAGTGGGACCAACGATGTTGGCTGCCATACCATCACCCTCCCAGGGGCCGTAAGCCACAGATGTGGCGGGCAGACCTTGGGCGCGACGCAAATATGCCAGGGCATCCAGGAAGGTGTTTGCTGCAGCATAGTTGGCGAGCCCAGACATGCTCAAGACTCCAGAAATGGACGAAAACATAACAAAGAAGTCAAGGCTGAGATGCTGGGTCAGTTGGTGTAGATGCCACGCACCGTCTACCTTGGGGGCAAAGACGGCAGCACATCGTTGCCGTGTCAAGGCTCCAAGGACGCCATTGTCTTGGGCACCTGCAGCGTGCACCACACCGCGTAGAGGCGTCTTTTTGCCGTCAAACATGGCCATGAGTTGGCCAACACTATGACGATCTGCTATGTCACAAGCAACGACGGTAGCTTCTGCACCCAGCGCAGCAAGATCATTCACGAGCGCCTGCGCACCGGGAGCTGCCATGCCACGTCGCGAGGTCAGGACCAGAGTACGTACGCCATGTGTGCCCGCCAGCCATCGAGCAACTCTTGCACCGAGATCACCCAGCCCACCCGTGATGACAACGGCGCCATCTGGGCGGACCATAGGCTGCTGCTGCTGGATACGGGGTAGCGGCTCTTGTGGCATAGAGATGGGTTGTAAACGAGGCACCAGGACCTGGCCGTGGCGGACTGCGCATTCAGGCTCCGTTCTGAACGCCAATGCTGCCGCAAGGGTATCCGCGTTGATGTTATTGTTATCATTGTTGTCGTCGTAATGGTAGTCGACGTCGACGAGGCGTAGATGCAGGTCGGGATGCTCGCTGCGGGCCGTCCGCATTAGGCCCCATAGCGGCCCGGCAGCCAGTCCGGCCCCAGAAGAGTGGTTGTCGTCACGTGCATTCACGCTAGCACCGACCGCTTGTCGCGTCACCCACAGCAGCTGCGGCGTGAACTGTATGCTCACAGCGTTCTGCAGCTGCGCCAGTCCTTTAACGGTCAGCTCTTGTGCCTGGCCTGCGACATCATCAGAGCCCGTTTCTGCGTTCCACAGGCACAGCACCCCGTCAAGCTCTCGGCCATCTTGCAGCCGCTCAATCCGTTGCACGTTCAGACCAGCAGACACCAAACCCGCTTCGACTCGTCTTACCCACGGTTGCTCCCTGTCTGGACTGGCACAAAGCAAGCCCCACGAGCCGTCTTTGGTCCAACTCGAAACGTCAGCCTGCTGCCACGATACCTCAAACGCGAATCGATCTGCAGCACCGAGAGCCTGGTGTTGATCCTCATCGTCTTGTTGCACACTACCAGCATTGATGTTGCTGCGAGCGCGAGGAAAGCGCTCTCGCTGGAATGCATATGTCGGCAGCTCCACATGCTCACAGAAGCCTAGAGGCTCAAAGTAAGCCTGCCAGTTGATAGGCACCATGCGCTCATGCATCTCCGCGAGGCTGCTCTGCATCGTCCACGCGCCGGGCTTCCGCGTGGTTAGGGATGGCAACCAGGCAATTGACTGATCTGCTGCAAGGCACGCCGCTCCCAGTCCGGTCAAAACAGCTTGCGGTCCCAACTCGAGAAATATTTTGACACCCTGCTGGTGAAGTGCCTGGATGCAATCCGCAAAACGAACTGCACCGCGTGCCTGTGAAACCCAGTAATCGGGTTGTTGCAGCTCATCCGCCTCCACAATCTTGCCTGTGAGGCTACTCACTATCCGCAGCTTTGGTGGATGGAATTGTACACTCTCAGCCACAGCCTGGAATGCTGCCAGCATGCAGTCCATATGGTGCGAGTGGAAGGCGTGCGACACACCGAGTACGTTCTTCTTGCGTCCCAGATTAGTGAAGTATGCCGCCAACTTGTCGACAGCGTCACCGTCGCCAGATACCACAGTTTGCGTTGGCGTGTTGTGGCCTGCGATATCGACCTTGTAGATAACCCCGATGTTGTCCATCGCTCTGGACACCTCTTCTGCACTGGCCTCTAATGCAACCATACTGCCACGAGTCGGGACAGCCTGCATCAATCGACCGCGTGCCGCGACCAGACGACAGGCGTCTGAGAGTTCTAAGACTCCACTAACATGCGCTGCCGACAGCTCTCCTACACTGTGACCGAGGATGTAATTGGGCTCTATACCCCAGCTCTTCCAGAGTTGCCAGAGAGCCACTTCCAACGTGAAGAGGGCGGGCTGTGCAAAGTCTGTGCGCTGCAACAGTGTGGCAGCCTCGCTATCTAGAGCGGCGTGCATCACCTCCCTCAATGGCATCTCTAGTTCAGTAAAATGAGCCGCTATCTCATCTACAGCCTTGCGGAATACGGGGTACAAATCGTATAGGTCTCTACCCATGCCTGCAACTTGGCTTCCCTGGCCGGTAAAAAGGACTGCTATACATGGATCGGCGGGATGTTGACTTGTCCCAGCTATGGAACCGAGTTTATGCATGAGCTCTGCCTTGTCTCTGGCTAGGAGTACTCTTCGCCGCCGGTAATGGTTTCTGGTAGTTGCCAGTGAGAAAGCCACGTCACTGAGACGATCTGTGTGATTTTCTTTTGCGCTATCAATGTATCGTCGCAGTTTCTCGGCCTGTTGGCGAAGAGCGGCATCGGTGTGGCCTGAAAGCAGGAATGGAAACCCAGCTGGCAGTGAAGCCAGCAACGGGTGCAAAACCTCTTCCTTGGGCGGTGCTTCTTCTATGATTATATGGGC